AAACCTTCCGCCCCCCCTCCCCCTCCCCCCCAGTAACCTCCTGGTGAGGTAGAGACCCCCCCCACCCCCGTAGGAATGAAAATCGAGGTTACATTCCAATATACCCATAACCAAACAGTAGACATATGAGGGGTATTTCACCAAGTCCCTCGATCCCCCCCTCCCCCGCCAAATGAGAAAAATATAACCCTAGTGAACCAACCCATTAGCTGAGGTAAACACAACATTGCAATAGCATATACGATGCCATAAAAGAAAAGAAAAACCTTTTGTTAACCTACATTTGAATACTATTATAGCTTTTGTCAAACAATAAACACACAATCCAACTTGCTGAGAAATAAAGAGTGGCGTTGAGAGCTCAAGACTCAGTCCGTTGCCTGGCATGAACTCTGCTCCATTTAAAAGGAGTGGCTTGACTCTCTCTCTTTCTTTTACCACTGAGAGCTGCCTCCAAATCCATTTCATCCTCCTGAGGAGATTTGGGAACCTGCAGACCCAAGTCGTGAAGTAAGTCTTCGCCCGAGGGTAAATCAGTTGCTTCAAAAGTTTTTCCATGTGATCTAACTTGAAGGGCTCCTGAGAGTGCCCATCTATAACGCACTTGAGCCTCCATTAAGCATTTTGTAATAGGCTTAAGTGTTCTTCTTATTTGCAGCACCTCTGAGGGCAAATCAGGGAAAACCAGAATATTGAATTCTCCAAACATCAGAAAGCGCTTTTCCTTTGCTGCTTTGAGTACAGCATTTTTTTTACTTATATCTATAAATTCAACTAAGACATCTCTCGGACCTTTGCGCTTGTCCGCAGAGATGGAGCCCAACCGAAATGCCTTTGAGAGTAACGGTGCATTTTCCTTTTCAAGGACTGCTATTGTTGAAAGCCAGTTAGGGATGAAAGTTAACAGATCTTCAGTTGGTTCAATATGCTCCGGAAAACCTCGGAATTTGAGGTATTTTTCCTTTGCTCGGTGTTCCAAGGTTAGTATTTTGTCTCTCATCCACAGCTCGTTTGACTGGAGTGAACGTATGTCTTCGTGATTTGCTATTGATGTTTCTAACGCTGTGTCAGCAGTTTGGATTGTATTATTCATGAGAGTTTGTAGCGCCTCAAGCTTTTCCTCCATTGGTTTCATTATATCGTTCATATGACTCAAAATATCTTCTTTGAAAGAGGCAAAAATGTCTCTCAGCTCCGATCTGGTAAAAGGCTCCCGTTCCGCGGCCTCAGCACTTGCCACAGTTGGCATTTTGTTGCCTTTGAAGCTCGGAGCAACTGTCAGACCTGAGGAGAGTTTTGTTTCGGTTTTGCTCGGTGTAAATCTTTTTGGGCTGTTTTTAATCGTGGATGGGTCTCCTTGAGGCTTTCCCATTACCTTTCAGCGGGTAGATTCGTTTTTTCGCATGAGAGGTTTGACGGGGGAAGAGGGATTCTCAGGAGCTCAGCTACTCAGCGTCCGCCATTTACTGAGCCGACGCCCCGCCCCCTCACATCTAAAGAAATGAACTGTCATCTACCATGTACTCTGAGCCGGCTCTGGCTGGGAGGTCGGGGTAAAAATTTGATAAATAAATACCAAAGCTTAAAGTGGAATAAAATGTTGTCACTCTTTTTGGTGCCACAAGATTCTTCCTTTTTTCAGTCCTTGAACTACTGACTCGTTCAATTGATTTTTGTATTTATAGCACCCCAAGAATCACTTCCTGAATGTACCCATCCTTTTTGTGGTTCTTCTTTCTCAGCACTGAATTAATTTGCTCTGCAAATAATTTATCCTGTCCTTGCTTCTGAAGCAAGTGGGTGTCTTAGTTGGTCTGACCAGAACCGTTGTCACTTTTTAAATTTTATGTAATTGCACTGTCCGCTGTATTTTTCCTCCCTAACCTAATCTGTCTCTATCTAGTGGCTACCCACTACATGCATCTAACAAAACTGGCTCTAGACCAAGACGTCAAGAATGCAGGAATAAAATTCATTCTTTAAATATTTACTATTGTTTACTTAATCTCACAGTGGATTTGGTTACACCTGTTAACGGATAACTCCAACTGCAAACCTAATCCATAACATGTACAATCTAGAGATGGTTATTGGGAGGGAGGGGAAGCTAGTGGACACCAGTAGGTCTTTTTTAGTGGTTATTCCCCAAGAGCCAATGTGGTATAGTGGCTGGAGTGCTGGACTGGAAGATGTGAGTTCAATTTTTTACTAGGGCCCAGGGCTATTTTGGGGCAGGAACGCACAGGAACGGAGTTCCGGCTGGCCCCTGAGTTGACCACGCCCAGCAGGCTCATTAGCATAATAGGCTACACCTAACAGCAGACACTCATTAGGATTGGCTACATGACGGGTGTGTGGCCTAACATGCAAAGAAGTTCCTGCTACAAAAAAGCCCAGAGTTTTGACAACAAAGTAAACAGAATAAGAAGCAAAAGGTGGGTGTGGCTGGATGACCACACTTCTGGTAACATGGGGTGTATGCTAATGAGCTGTACTGTCAGGGGTGTGGCTTAATATGCTAATGAGTTTCTGATGTTGGGTGTGGCCTATTATGCTAATGAGTTCCTGCTGGGCTTTTTCTACAAAAAGAGCCCTGCTAGGGCCAATAACTTTCTTTCTTAGCCTAATTTACTTTACAGGTTGGTGTTAAATCTGACAAAATAAATCAATACCTTTGCCAGTTATCCTTAGACTGCTGGTTCACACATGCATGAACCTTACTTAACGACTGTGGGGAAAGCGTTTGATGTGATGTGGGTAGATATCGAAGCTCTATCTGTGGTATGTCCTCATGGCCCATTTACGCATTGCAGACGTCAAGTGTTGACAATCCACTTGTCCAGATGCTGCAAAATTTAATAATTAGCTAATCCACCCTGTTATACAGTTATGATCAAGGCCATTAATCACATCAAATAGCAAAGGTACTGACAGATGAAGTGAAGAGGAGGCAGGCCATGAATCTCCATAAATTCTGTCCACATTCTCAGATTCTGCAGCCTAAGAGGTTGTCAGAAGTGACCATCAGGGATCTCGGAGCATTCATAGTGTTTGTAGCTTTCTATGGTTTGACTTGGTCATTTATTTGTGCCATTACAGTACCACAGATGGGTGGGTCAGTGCTATATTTCTAATCCTGCCTATCTGAGAGAGAATATTGTTACTATTTATGTATTTAGAAAATTTGTGTGCCGCCTCACCGAAACAAGAGGCAGCTCACAGTTAAAGCAATAAAACAAAACCAAGCGTGACAGTAAAGCCACATCAGTAAAAACCAATCAATGAAACAAGCTAAGTCCATAAAATAAATTAAGACCAAGTCAAGTAAAAAGGCCAGCGAAATAGTAGAAAAGAGCAAGAGTCCAGTAGCACCTTAAAGAACAAAATTTGTGGAAGAGTATGAGCTTTCATAAGTCACTGCTCACCTCTGAAGATATCTGAAGTGAGCAGCGACTCACGACCCTGACCCAAGTTTTCTTAGTCTTTAAGGTGCTACTGGACTCTTGCACTTCTCTGCTGCTACAGACAGACTAACACGGCCACCCATCTTGATCTATCACCAATGAAATAGGTAGTAAAAACAAATCATGGCACAACCCCCCCCTCAAAATGTCTATATTTCCTCCAAAACTATAGGCAATATTTTGTTACTTTCTTTTTCTCTAGGTTTGTTGAAGAAAATCTGTGGAGAGGGAGGGAAACTGGTGGCTGAATGAAGTTCTCAGAAAGGATGCTTTTATTGGACCAGAATGCATTGTTGAATTATAGGACAGTTTTTGTAGGCATATAAAGCCATTCCTGAGAGGAAGTGTCCAGGACAACAGCAATAAAATTATTAAAACATTTTCCCCCTGTTAATCATTTTGCCAAAGAGCACTGTAGAGTCTCCAAAGTCACTTATGTCTTGCCTGCTTCTGCTCACGCAGCTGCAATTGGACATCTGCATTATAGTGCCATGGATACCAAAAAGACAAATAAGTGGGTTCTAGAGCAATAAAGCCTAAACTCTCCATGGAAGCTAAAATGTCTGAACTGAGGCTATTGTACTTCAGTCACATTATGAGAAGACGAGTCACTGGAAAAGGCAACAATGCTAGGAAAAGTTGAAGGCAGCAGGAAAAGAGGAGGACCCACCATGAGATGGATCGACTCAGTCAAGGAAGCCGTGGCCTTCAGTTTGCAGGACCTGAGCAAGGCTCAGTCAGTCATAACTAGTTGCATGCAGCTAGAGATGGATCAATGCCCTGGGATCAGTCTATATTTCTCAGGCTATCGTCTGTGTTTGCAAGTAATTGAGTTGATTTTTTTTTTAATCACTCATAGTTTTTGGCGTGTTTACATCCAGTTCAGTGGAATAGATTTTACAATGAGTTATAAGAAGGGCTCGCACTGAAAACACTATAGTATCTGAAGATACATTCCGTCTCCTTTGGTGTGTCTTTTTGAAAGTTAAATGTATGTGTATCTTGTCAGTAGTCTTCATTATAGTATGTCATGCCTTAGGCAGTTTTTTATTGCATTTTATTTATCTTGCTTTTAGTTTCAGAGCAAATGACACATTCCAGTGGCCATGGGATGCCATTTTAGAGGGAAATTTAGGTGTTTAAAAATTGCTATGAGAGCCAGATCCCTTCCGTGTACCTTCTCAAGTGCTGAAAACTTGGAAAGGCAGTCGGGGTGGGGGGGGGAACAGGGTGCTGCTGCAGTGTGGACCTGCCAGGATCTGGCCCTTGTGGCAATTTTTAAAGGGTCACATTTCCCTCTAAAACGGTTTCAGTGGCCATGGACTTGTAGCCACCATAATGTGTTATTTGCCTCTTAGTCAACCTAGTCCTACTGCATTGTTTATTGGAGGAACTTGTTGTCTGACTGAATTATTTTCATAGTTTGCAATCCACCTTGAGTCTTAGTGATGAAGATGGGCTATAAATGAAGTTAATAACAACAACAGCAACAACAAGAACAATAATAATAATAATGTATTTTTGTGGTCTTTACAGGAAATGTTAGAAGCGCTCAAGGCTCTTTCAGTCTTTTTTGTAGAAAACAGTTTGCGTACAAGAAGAAATTTGCGTGGGGATATTGAACACCGCAGCTTAGCCATAAATGAAGAATTTGTCTGCATTTTCAAGCAAGTGAAGGAGGTATTCTATCTAATTAATTAGCACCACATGTCCAGTAATTCTAAAACAAATCTGTGTTCTCAAGGCAAATTAGCTTTGTACAGACTACGATTTAGAGTGTTGTGTCTGTGGCTATATTTTATTGTGTAATTCCCCCCCCCCCCGTTGTGTGAAACATTGCCAGGGGAGACTGATACACTCAGAAACTTGTCAGGTAGAATTAACACATATTGTCTGTCAAGCAAAACAACACATAACTTAGTAGATACATTAATCTGTATAACATTTACAAGACAAATAGTGAATTTAAGTTAAAAGACAAATGGTAAGAATCACATACGTCTGGCTAGGAAAATTCACTCATTTTTGGACAACAGCTGATGTAGCTACACTGATCCATGCTATTGCAACCTCAAGACTAGACTGCAAAATGCTACAGATTGGAGCCAAACCTTCCACGAATGGAGTGAGTTTTGTACACTAGCTCCAGAGATGAAACAGAGATGCAGACATGTGCCATGATGATCCTCTAATGAGGACAGGAGTCCATAGGCCTACCCATACCTTGTAACTGGCACTGTGTTTTGGGGTGGGGGGAGGTGTTGCTAGTACAATATTGCCCAGGCTTTTTTCTGACTGCAGCTGTCCATCTCTGAAACAGGGAACCGCATGAAAGTCAGTTGTTTGGCTCAGCTTTCCATTTTTCTCCTCCCTGCACATGGTGCAAAGAAGAAGCTGGGGGGTGGGGGATGTGGAGGAGGTATCCTGATCATAGCTATTGTTATTCCAAATGTTAAAAAGCAAGACTTGCTGAAGCAACAGTTGACTATTACATCAATCCTCCTAGAGATCTGACTGCTTTAAGAACATAAGAGAAGCCAATGTTGGATCAGGCCAAAGGCCCATCCAGTCCAACTCTCTGTCACACAGTGGCCAAAAATACCAGGTGCCATCAGGATGTCCAGCAGTGGGGCCAGGACACTAGAAGCCCTCCCACTGTCCGTCCCCCCCAAGCACCAAGAATACAGAGCATCACTTGCCTCAGCCTGAGAGTTCCTAACTGGCCTAAGAGCCAGTTTGGTCTAGTGGTTAAGTGTGTGGACTCTAATCTGGGAGAACCCTGTTTGATTCCCCACTCCTCCAATTGCACCTGCTGATGTGACCTTGGGTCAGTTGCAAGCTCTGGCACAGCTGTTCCTGAAAGAGCAGTTTGTGTTAGAGTTCTCTCAGCCCCACCCACCTCACAGGGTGTCTGTTGTGAGAAGGGGAAGGAGTTTGTAAGCCGCTCTGGGACTCCAAGTGAAGGGCGGGGTATAAATCCAATCTCTTCTCTTCTTCTATGTATACCTTGTGATTAATAGCCACTGACGGACTTCTGCTCCATATGCTTATCTACTTCCCTCTTGAAGCTGTCCATGCTTGTAGCAACCACCACCTCCTTACTTACATGCCACAGAAAAGCCTGGATGCTTAAATTCGAGCCTCTGTTTGTGTATGCACAATCAGTTTTTCAGGGTTTGACAACGGGTGTAACAAATAATGTCTGATACCTTTGGGAATACTCTGTGTAGGTATACTTCATCAGATAGGTCTTGTATTTCAGAAGATGAGGCAGGGAGATGATGCAGAATAGCTGATTGTTCGTAAGTTAGCATTTTGAGCCACTAAGAACCAATGTCTGTTTCTGTACATTTTCAGGAGCTTGAAAGCATTAATGAAGATGTGCAGATTATGAGTAACTGCTGCCAGGAAATGACCAGTCACCTGAAGGTATCATATAAATGATTTTTGTATTGCTTAATTTTTGCATTTTGAAAATTTTATTTTCTGTTATACAGTATTCAAAGTCTCCTCCTCCTTCCAATATGTACGATTTGGATCTTTTACCCGCAAAATGTATAAGAATTATGATCTCAAAGTTTAAACAAAATTAAAAATATGACACCATTGTCCGAACACCATTGTTAACTTTTTGGCTTTGATTCAAGCCATAATGTCTTGATGGAAATAGATCTGAATCTGATTCCTGAAAAGATAGATGGGAGAAGGACTCGCAGGGGAACTTTTCAGATAAGCGGTGGAACTGTGTGTGTAAAGAGCCAATTAAAGATCTGGCTGATGTAGGTCTTAGAGAAAAGTATCACAAGAGTTTGTACCACACTGCTGTGAAATTAAGAAATATTTATAGACAAGTCTTGGATGTTTCTTTGAGGTGTGAGAGGGGAGAGGATTTCCCCCCCCCCTCAAGCTGGAATATATTAAAAAAGCTGATTTAGTATGATGTTGCTAGATATAAGCTTAGAATTGACCTTTTAGCCACTTTGTTAAAATATCTAAGGAAAGAGATTAAGAGATCAATCCTAAACAGATCTACTCAGAATCCTACTCAGGACTATTCCATGGAGCTTACTCCCAGGAAAGTATTTTTAGGATTGCCCTGTAAGAACATGAACATTTACAATGCAATCCAAAGAGCACTTTCCTGGGAGTAAACTGCATTAAGTAAATCTATGTAGAATTCTAACTAGACCTGTTTAGGATTGCTTTCTTAGTTAATAATGGATTACAACACACATTCTAGTTGCAGTGTTTTGGAAACATCCCAGTTTGGGCACAGTAATCCATGTGGATACAATAAGGTTACGTAAAAATTGGCAGCTGATGCTAATGTGTAACCTATATGTACGGGAAGGTAATTTAATTTAGCAGAAGTTTCTAGCACATTAGTGTTTTATGGATTTTCGGGAAAGGATAATGGCTAAGGAAAATTTGAAGGTTGGATTTCTGTCTTTAATGTGATGATATATGTCCTTCTGTCTCTGCCATTTAAGGTCTGTAATTTTTCTGGTTTTTTATTTTAGAAGAAGAAGAGATTGGATTTATACCCCGCCCTTCACTTGGAGTCTCAGAGCGTCTTACAAACTCCTTTCCCTTCCCCTCCCCACAACAGACACCCTGTGAGGTGGGTGGGGCTGAGAGAACTCTGACACAAACTGCTATTTCAGGAACAGTTGTGCCAGAGCTTGTGACTGACCCAAGGTCACATGAGCAGGTGCAAGTGGAGGAGTGGGGAATCAAACCCGGTTCTCCCAGATTAGAGTCCACACACTTAACCACTACACCAAACTTGCTTTTAAAAAGGTAAAGATGATATACAGTGCTATAACAATGTAGTCTGAGTGTAGTAGAATGTTGGAAATGTGTATGTGTTTACAAAATTATTCTCCATACATAGTGACCAGAGTAGGATCCTGCCTAAAATTTCCAGGGACAGAAAGATTTCCTCCCACAGAAGGGTAGCTTGCCCAGCTTCCTGCTGCATGCCAAAATGCACCCAAAGTACTACACCTGGAACAACTGGTGTGTGTGGAGTTTTGCTGCAGGAGGGAGGAATCGGGAAATTGCCCCACTCCCTTTTGCATACTGGTGTTGTGGTTAAGTGCGCGGATTCTAGTCTGGGAGAACTGGGTTTGATTCCCCACTCCTCCACTTGCACCTGGCTGGATGACCTTGGGTAAGCCATAGCTCTGATAAGAGCTGTCCTTGAAAAAGAGCAGTTTCTGTCAGAGCTCTCTCAGCCCCACCTACCTCACAGGGTGTCTGTTGTGGGGAGGGGAAGGGAAAGGAGTTTGTAAGCCGCTCCTTTGGGTAGTGAAGGGCGGGGTATGAATCCAATCTCCTCCTCTTCTTCTTCAATAAAACCTATGTCCTTAATAATAATCTTTGTTTAAAAAACTGGAAGAATGTTTTGGAAGTGACAGGCCAGATTTTAGCACACAGAGAAAAGCCCCAGTGGTGGTTTTACTGGATTGTTAAAAACATTAGCAGAAGAATTCAAGGAACATTTATTATGGGAACGATGGTAGATTGCCGGGGGGGGACACACAGCCTTAGCCAAATCTGAGAAGTTCCAATCTAAACCTTCCAGGAAAGAGAGGCTGTAAAAAAGTCTGTATTTTGCACAAATGGAAAAGCGGACATTATTGGTTGATTCCATAGAACGTAGTCATGGAATCTTGTAGTAATAGCTGGACAAAATTTGTGGAGTTCTGGAATAACAAACTATAATAGCTGACAGGTCCTAGGTGATTTGGGGTTCTCCCCCCCCCCACAGTGTGCATTTTTAAGGTATATGTTTTGATTCTGTTGGTGGTGTTAACATAAACCAAAGAGCCTGATGAAAAGACAGGCCTGGGGAAAGGGGGGCAGGGGAAGCCGTGGACAGAGGTGTAATCCTGAGGGAAAGGTAAAGGTTCCCTTGCTCGAAAGCCAGTCGAATCCGACTCTAGGGTTGCGGTGCTCATCTCCGTTTCAAAGCCGAAGAGCCAGCGCTGTCCGAAGACGTTTCCGTGGTCATGTGGCCGGCATGACTAAACACCAAGGCGCACGGAACGCTGCTACCTTCCCACCGAAGTGGTACCTATTTATCCACTTGCAATTTCTCGCTTTCGAACTGCTAGGTTGGCAGGAGCTGGAGCTAGAGACAGGAGCTCACTCTGTCATGCGGCACACTCGGGTCTCGAACTGCTGAACTACTGACCTTCCACAGCCTGCAGTTCAGCGTCTTAACCACTTGAGCCACCGCAGCTCCTTAATCCTGAGGGAAGGAGGGGGTAAAAAAGGAACAGGAGAGAAGCAAAGGGAAGGTGGGTCTGAGGGCTGTTGCTAAGACTGAAGAAGTAAGTGTGTTTTAGTTCTTTCGAAACCAGGGCAGCAGAGGGCTGGGAAGTTGTGAGTAGGATATGCTAGGAGAGGAGCGGGAATGCCTTGTAGGGTTTAGGGATGTGGGAGAGGTTGTTCCATGGGGTGAGTCAGTGAGATAGGGGATCTTGGAGGGTGAAGGGATTGAGGGAAAGGGGGCTGGCAAGAAGACGGGAGAGGGGCCATGGCAGGGAGAGGCGGCACAGTTTGAAGACACATTGTGCAGTAATTCAGTCTCTAGGATCAAGACTCCAATTGGATTCTGCATTTCTGCTGGGTAAGGAAAAGGAATGTTTAATTACTTCTAAAACAGAACCGCTTCCGTCTGCTTCGCCATGTTTAAATGGCGTTTAATTACATTGAAATTAGAACAGTGTAAACCATACCTTGAGGCGGTTTGAGTGCTTTAGTTTTAATCAATCTGATTTCGTGTTCCAGGCAGCCAAAGAGCAAACCCAGGACTTAATAGTCAAGACAACTAAGCTTCAAGCAGAGGGGTATGTATTTATTTTTACTTAAAAACGACAGGGGCTTTAAGGGTTCTGCTACTCTGGGCTAATTCACACGGCGCTTGCTTGTTCAGCTGCTCCTCATGTATGAGGGCAGGTAGCAGTGTGAGGTAAGACGGCGAGTTGTCGGCTTGGCTGTGCTGGAGCGTTTCAACAGACTGGAGGCCTTCTGCCCACAGCACACAAGTTTCTTTCCTCTCCCCCTCCACTCCAGCCCAGCATGCTCAGGAGACGCTCTGGGCTGCCCCCGGGAGGAGGGCAAGAACATTGCACTCTGTGGGCGGAAGCCCGTCCATCCTGTTGGTCCCAGCTTACCCTATCCTACAAATCAGTTCTTCTTTATTGCTGAATCTTAACATTTTTGGACAAAATACGTTGCATGACAGTAAGTCAGATGTCCATATAGCTCTGAAAACTTGATGTGGCCTCCTATACGTGCCTGAGATGGTTATGTTTGTTCCAGCACAAGTATGTAAAACGTGTCTTGCAATCATTATGATTGTAGGTGTCCACAGATCTTTTAGGGTTGAGGGTGTACAGTCCCTAGGTCATGGAGCTTTTTGGCTGTCTGTGTCTCGTGTGCAGTTTAGTAGGACAAACATGGGGGGGGGGTTCTATTTGGTAGTCTGGTTTGCGTATAACAAAGTTTGAGTCCAGTGGCACCTTTGAGATCGACAAAATTTTATTCAAGGTGTAAGCTTTCAAGTGCAAGCACACTCCTTCAGATACAGGTTTGTGTATGTTTCTCTGAATTTCAACATGGTATTGTCATTATTTCCTTCTAAACGTGTTTATACATTTATTTTGCCATTCTTCTAATCGGAAGCAACATTCAAGTCCGGTAGCATCTTAAAGACAGAAAAGGTTTCCAGGATTTAAGCTTTCAAGAGTCAAAGCTCTGACAAAGGAAGTTTTGACTTTTGAAAATATCGTTCACCTTCAAGGTGCTACTGGACTCAAATTTTTCTTTTTTATGGAAGGCCAAAACAGCTGCCCACTTGATGCTAATCGGGAGTGATTCTAGAGTTCTGTTAATCCCACTGCCTGCTTTCTTTTCTCCAGATTTCATGATTAGAAAACAAGCTTTACGTTCACTGTTGCTTTGCGTAATATATTCATAGTGAAGATTTGACTTGTAGAACTGTAAATTTTTAGAGGGATTGTTGATACGTTAGGGAAGGTATGCACATGAAAAGATTGGTAGGTGTGCTAAACTCAAGGAGTTAGGAACAAGAGGCAGAAGAAGATATAAATAAGGAGAAGGAGGAGGGATTGGATTTATACCCCGCCCTTCACTACCTGAAGGAGTCTCAGAGCAGTTTACAATCACTTTCCTTTCTCCTCCTCACAACAGACACCCTGTGAGGCAGGTGGGGCTGAGAGAGCTCTTTCTTTGGTGTGGTGGTTAAGAACGGTGGACTCTAATCTGGGAGAACCGGGTTTGATTCCCCACTCCTCCACATGCAGCCGGCTGGGTGACCTTGGGTTAGTCACAAGTTCTCTCAGAGCTGTTCGCTCAAGGGCAGTTTTCTCAGAGTTCTCTCAGCCACACCTACCTTACAGAGTGCCTGTTGTGGGGAGAGGAAGGGAAGAAGATTGTAATCCGCTCTGAGACTCCAAATGAAGGGCGGGGTATAAATTCAACTATTCTTCTTCTACTACTACTACCACCACCTGGGGGAGCCGTGGCACCCACACACCTTTCAAGGGGCCTGCTAAGTGTTTTTAGAAAGTGGGTGTGGCCAAGTGGGGCTTTTGCCCAGCAAGGATTCTGATTGGCCATTGGAGTTCTGATTGCCTGTGCAGATTTTTAAGCACATTGCTTTGGAATCAGCTGCCACCACAGCACAAGGATCGTCACTGTGTACAAGCTTTACAAGCCATTTTATGACCTGCGGCAGCCATTTTGTGGCTGCACCCACCACAGTGTGTCAGAACTCCGAAGGTGCCTCAGGCTTAAATAGATTGGGGACCCCTCGTCTAAGGTTTGGGTTTCAACTTTCTAAATAATGGTATTTATGTTAAATTTGAATTCTAGTTCCTGTGCACAGCAGTTGGTAAAATTACCAGTTAGACAACCTGTTCAATGATTTGGGCAGATAAAATTAGCTGCTCCCTCCTCTGGCCCACAGTGACTTTTATGGGTCAATTGAATTACCATTAAGTGATGACTTTTTTTAAAAAAATGCTTAGTTTATTAGCTGGGATGCCAACTACACTTCGGAATAGCTTGTGAGCTGTGAACCGTAATGAAATAAACTAGACTGACCATAAAAAGTGACAACAATTTTCTTCTTGCAGCCAGAGATTGGAATTAAAAGCACAAGTAGCAGATGCTTTCATAGCAGAATTCCAGCTTTCTCCAGAAGAGATGGGCATCCTTCGAGGTGCAAGGGATGGGCCTATTACAGAGGTAAGTATCTTAAAATGCATAACAGGGGGGAAAATCTAGCATACTACGGTAATCACTCTTCTGATTGGATCTTGTTTTAAAGCAGCCACTCTGTGAAGCATCTCCCCACCCCGCTCCGGCCTTTCAGTTGTCAATATAATGCCTTGGCATAATGGATGTACACTTCATTGATCTGATGAAGTGAGCTCGGATTTACAAATGCTTGTGCAGGAATAACTGGAGATCCTTTTAACTGGAGAGCCTGGGACTTCTGCACCCACTGCAGATGTTCCCATCCCTGAGCTGCGGGTGTAATTATAATAAGAGACCACCATGGTCCATGGTAATGAAATGTGGGCACCATTCCTGAAATATTGCTTTTCTTCAATGACTGTACATGTATAGGCACTGCCATGAGGGGTTTTCTGTGTGAAATAATAGGACTCCGCCCAGTTCTGTATAGGTAGTTACTTGGGGGGGAGAAGAAGAAGAGAAGAGATTGGATTTATACCCCGCCCTTCACTACCCAAAGGTGTCTCAGAGTAGCTTACAAAATCCTTTCCCTTCCCCTCCCCACAACAGACACCCTGTGAGGTAGGTGGAGCTGAGAGAGCTCTGACAGAAACTGCTCTTTTTCAAGAACAGCTGTGCCAGAACTATGGCTTGCCCAAGGTCATCCAGCCAGGTGCAAGTGAAGGAGTGGGGAATCAAACTCGGTTCTCCCAGATTAGAGTCCGCGCACTTAACCACTACACCAAACTTACAATGAAATGTTAGATCATATTTTTTCATTTTGAAACAGGTCATCCTCAACAAAAATTATAGATTAATAATAATTACAATGTTACAAATACAAAATTTTAAACCCGTTGTTATATAATCATTACTAATTAGCGTTCAGTCTTGACTATTTACTCATTTTTGTTATCCTATTTAATGTAAAAGTGAGGTGCAATTGTACTTCTAATGTCAAATTTAATTCCTTCCTTTAAAATTTGAAAAGAAGATTTCCAGCTATCTGAAACATATCCTTTTTCCTACAACCGTCTTTTGGTTGATCACATTATGACAGTTTCATGATACACCATACTTTTTGGATCCAAGGTTTGATTGTGAGATGTTTACTAGTGCTCCAGTTTTTTTGCTAATAGCAATTTTGCAGCTGTAATCATGTCAAGAATCATCCTTATACTAACTTTTGGACTGTATGCATTAACTAGTCCCAGTAATGCTACCTTGGGATCGAAAGGTAATCCCTGTAACACAATAACATTTTCAACTCCCCTTCCATACTATTGGCTGAAGATTCCCTCCTGGTGTAACTTAACGCTGGGGTCTTGCCAATCATGGTTTCTTCTCTATGGCAAACTTTTCCCTTATTGCCATTAAATGTGGTTTGGAGCAGACCAGCCACAAGCCATGGTTCCTTCATAAACCAGTTTGAAATACATAGTCAGGAGTGGGTTTGCAAATCATGACCACGTGGGAACTTGGTTACTGTCAATTATGGTTGGCGTTGGTGCACTGTGACCCTAAGCCCAGGTTATCACAAACCAGGATGGTGAGAGTTCATTCCAGAGACAGGAGGGAAGGAAGGAAGGGACGGCACGCCCTGAACGTGGCTACTGATGTGCAGACTATATCTATAAGAAAGCCAGCACAGCATCTGCACAGGGGGAGGAGGAGGAGGAGGGATTTATACCCCGCCCTTCACTCGGAGTCTCAGAGCGATTTACAATCTCCTTTCCTTTTCCCACACCAAACTTGTGAGGTAGGTGGGGCTGAGAGAGCTCTTTTGAGAACTGCTTTTGAGAGAACAGCTCTGAGAGAACTTGTGATTGACCCAGGGTCACACCAGCAGCGGCATGTGGAGGAGTGGGGAATCAAACCCGGTTCTCCCAGCTCTTAACCCCACTGTACCAAATCTGATAACCATTCCATGTTACAAAGGGCATGTATGGAGTTGTCCCCTGAATCAGGCTGATGGCCCATCAAGCCTATCCGTGCCTGTTCTGACCACCATCAGCCCTCCAGAGGTCTTTCCCAGCCCTGGAATTATTTTAACTCATGATGGCACGTTTTGATCCTGGTGTCTTTCCAGAGCTGCCCTTCCATCCATAGTGATGCTGTTGACAACCAGGTTGCTGACTTCTGGTACTGATTTCTGCCTGTAGATGATAGAATATCAGACAATGGCATGCAGGCACCCTGGTGAGGACTGATTCTGTGATGTGTATTTCAGCTGAGCTGCAGCTTCTGAAATAATGTGTTTGTTACTGGGGCTGTGATATTCTGGAGCCAGGCACATTGAGAATCGTCCATCCATTCTCTTTAAGCTTGATCTTACAGACACATTCATGGCCTTGCAGGATCCCCTGGAGAGGAAGATAAATTACTGATAGCAGTGAAATAAACATGATTCATGACTCTCTTTGTGTCCCTGCTATGCCTAATATTAAATGTATAGAAGGGTTTTTTTGCTTCTGTTGGATTTTATACAGTGTTGTTGTATAGTAATGTTGTATAGTTGCAGGCTGCCCGAGAAATGCGTGTAACCTTCTTGGAAGTCAACGTCAGTAAAAATGTTCAGAGGTTTGTATGCAGGGAATGTGACTGATTTTGTCTAAGTGGAGGCAGCCATTTTTCTAAGCATGGTATGCAGTAGAGCACCTGCCAAGCTGTGCTTTTCTGTAGTGTAGAAAATCAAGAATGTTTCTGTGTGGACAGTTTGCTTTGTCAGTGCTTTAAATCATACAATTTAATTTTATTGTAGGGTTTTTTCAAAGTGCTGGGGAGAGTAAAACAAATTCACAGTGATGTCAAGATTCTTCTGCGTACAAACCAGCAGAGATCAGGGTGAGTTTGTAGTGAATATTTACAAAGGAATAGCCTTGTTTAATTCATTTGATAAATTAAGGCATAAACCGTTGTTTAAATCTATATGAAGTGAGCTTTAACATGATCAGAGCCATATATTGAGGAACATCCATGTATGTGTGAACTTAAGATTTTCAGGACTTTTTTGATTGCATGAAGCACTTTTTGTTAAACATTTTACACATTTTTAAATTTGCAGCCTAGAAATTATGGAGCAGATGGCTTTGGTGCAAGAGACGTCTTATGAGCAGCTTTACCGATGGGCTCAAGGTACCGTTAATTTTTTCAGAGGTCTTCTTCTCTGAAAGCTTGTTTCACCTCTGAAGCATAGGCAGGTCAGCCCATTTTGTAGACTTTTTAACATGAAAATAGAATCATCCTCAATCAGGGCTCTTTTTGTAGAAAAAGCCCAGCAGGAACTCATTAGCATAATAGGCCACACCCAGCAGCAGAAACTCATTAGCATATTGGGCCACACCCCTGACAGCACAGCTCATTAGCACATTAGGCCGCACCCCCATGTTACCAGAAGTGTGGTTATCCAGCCACAGTCACCTTTTGCTTGTTATTCTGTTTACCTTGTTTGTTGTCCAAACCCAGGGCTTTTTTTTAGCAGGAACTCCTTTGCATGTTAGGCCACACACCCCTAATGTAGCCAATCCTAATGAGTTCCTGCTGTTGGGTGTGGCCTATTATGCTAATGAGTTCCTGCTGGGTGTGGCCAACTTGGGAGCCAGCCGGAACTCCATTCCTGTGCGTTCCTGCCCCAAAATAGCCCTGATCCTCATCATCACTTATTATTCACTTCATTTATACCATAACTTTCCCCCCAACGGGACCCAAAGTGCTTAAATCATTCTCCTCTCCTCCATTTTGTCCTCACACCAACCCTGTGAGGTAGGTTAGGCTAAGAGAGTGTGAAGCTGACCCAAGTCCACCCAGAAAACTTCCGTGGCACGAGTGGGGATTCGAACCTGAGTTTCCCAGTTCCTAGTTCAACACTCTAACCAGTGCACCACACTGGCTCATGAGGTACTTGCAGCCAGGCAGGCTTTTCCCCTAGCAAATCCAGCTGCATTGCTTATCTCTGGGCTGCCATCCTGTGACAGGAGCGTGTACAAACCCCGTTTGGGGATCTCAGAGGGTTTTGAAATCTGTCACCAAATTGACTTATTTCACAATCCAGCTTTGCAGTCATATTTAAGAGTCTGTATTCATGCCGCTTGAAGCGGCTGGTGGGCAACAAGTAGGACCAGCATTTTCCGGGAAACAGAGTTAGAGCATAATGTTCTGACCTTTTCATCATTTCGTGGGGGGTTTTTTGGATGGGGATTGTCCAAGGGTGCAAATTTAGAAGTGCAAAATACTTAATGTTAGAAAAGCAATATTTGAACGTTTTGGATTCTTACGTTTACAGTAGTAATAGGACTCCGTCCTGACCTGGATCGGCCAGGCTAGCCCAGTCTTGTCAGATGTCGGAAGCTAAGCCCTGGTTAGTCCTTGGAGGGGAGACCTGAGGCCGGTCAGTGGCAAACCACCTCTGTTCATCCTTTGTCTTGAAAACCCTGCAGAATCGCCATAAGAAGGCTGCAGAAAACTCCTTGGCACCCAGATCTTAAACGTTAGAAAACAGGCAAATAGGAGAGCCCTGTCGCGGGATTCCATTAGCCCACCCTTTCAAATAAGTGTGCCAAATTAGCAGCAGGACTGGAACAGGCTTTCCTGATCATTTGTACAGTACCCCGAATGCTGGTCACACTTTAGATTTTGTTTTCTGTTCATCCTGCCTTGCCGCTGTCCTTCGAATTGGTTAACATTTGACAAAAATCTGCATCAGGAACAGCTGGATTCTGCCGCTTGCCATAGCGTATTCAAAACAAGCACATTTGCATCATTTGGCCCGTTTTGCCTAGTTGCCTATGCCCGTGTGGTATAGCAGTTTGAGTATCACACTAGGGTCTGGGAGACCTGGGTGTGAATCCCCACTCTGCCAGGGAAGCCGGCTGGACAGTCTTGGGCCAGTCGCCCACTGCAAGGTCTAGTTTAAACTAGTCTCTGGATATCCAGCTGGGTCTCAGGATCCAGGACACTGAAGGATTATGACTAGGGAAAGTGACTCTGTTTAAGAGCAGGCTAATTCTGCCTGCCCAGACTCTTCCAACATTGACTACAGAGTCACCCCTTGAAAAGAAGCGGCCTCTTCCAGTAGTCTGTGCACTGCCTAAGAGCAGATTGAAGGAGTAGTGTCATTATTTACAGACTCCTCTTTAAGACCGTGCTGATAAGACAGGCAGTGACTTTGTGGACAGTGGCAGAGGTCCCAGTACAGTTGGTATCCTGACAGTTGCTAACACACACACACACACCCGCCCGCCCGCCCCCCCAAACACAGTTTGTAATCTTTTTTCCTTAAAATCTCAACACCTTAATATGGAGTAGATGAATGCTGGATGCAGCTTCACCGTGCTGGCAGAGGGCTTGGATCCAATGATTGTTTTGCACTATTGGAAGGAGTGGGGATTTTGTTTGCCGGTTCCCCTCCCCCCCCTTTGTTTCACACCCCTTTGCTGTTCCTGAGGGTCCCCTCTCCCCCAGGAACAGCAATTTAGGGAGCTCAGAAGAGTTGCAGTGGGAAGGGGAAATCTCCCCTCCGCCCTGCAGAAGTGACAGGTGCTTATCCTCGTTATTACTGTTGTTTTGCTCTTTCCATAGGTGAATGCAGGGCTTTAACACAAGAATCATGTGACATTTCTCCAGTTTTGGCCCAAGCGATGGAAGCTTTGCAAGACCGACCTGTTCTCTACAAGTACGTTGATGTGTTGCCTGCAGCAACAGTGTGGTTTCAGGGCCAAAAGAGCAGGATGCCTGGCCCTCTTGACTGGACTCTGTCAAGAGCCACTCACAGTTACAGTCAACGCTCCCTCTAAGCTGTGGAGTCTCGTGAGCAAAAATTCTACTTTGTAAGCTTACTGGCATTAAAGTTGTGAGCGAGCGATTTGGCTGCTGCATAAATCAGTCTGCTCGGGAGCCATCCTTCCTGAGCTAGGGCAGAAATGTGTGAGCCAGAGGTTAAAAAAACTGAGCCAGCTCACACTAGCTCAGCTTAGAAGGAACACTGGTTACAGTCCAGGCTGAATGTGCCACCGCATGTTTTAGTAGAGGTCTAACCAACAAATGTCAAGCTCAGGGCAGTTCCAAGCATCGCTGGTCCATGTCTGTCTTCTCACTTCTTGGGAACACCAAGAATAACACAACGCTTGTCAAGAAGACCGTGTGTTTCTGTACCTCACATCACCGGCTGTCAGCAGCACCAGGGTGGGGAGCAGTGCACATTTCAAGGTGTGAACTCACACATCATCTTGAGCTGTTACCACGTTGAGCTGGTGCGGCAGTTGGTCCCCTTCCTTAGCCACGAAGATCTGGCCACAGTGATCCATGCGACGGTTACCTCGAGGCTAGACTACTGCAACGCTCTCTACATGGGGCTGCCTTTGTCGCAAACTCGGAGGCTGCAGCTGGTGCAGAATGCGGCGGCCAGGCTGGTTGTTGGTGCCTCTAAAGGGGACCACATTCAGCCTGTGCTGAAAGCGCTGCACTGGCTGCCTATAGCATTCCAGATTCGCTTCAAAGTGCTGGTGCTTACCTTTAAAGCCCTATATGGCCAGGGTCCGGCATACCTGAGGGACCGCCTTTCCCCATATAGGCCCCAAAGAGCACTTTGGTCAGGGTCACAACACCGCCTAGTGACCCCGGGCCCTAAAGAGGCCAGGCTTGCTGCCACAAGGGCCAGGTCTTTTTCGGTGGCGGCTCCTATCTGGTGGAACAAGCTCCCGGAGGAGATCAGGGCCCTGCGGGACCTGTTACAGTTCCATAGGGCCTGTAAGACGGAGCTCTTCCGCCAGGCTTTTGAATAAGAGCCGCCGCCGCCACTACCACCAACGGGCGACTGCAAAGCAGTACCGCTGGGTTAGGCTGACTGGCCATTTGAACATCGGGGCCATAGCATCCCCCTCTTTGACTCAATGTGATGTACAATAGGGAGCGAGTAGGGTAGTTGCGGTAGATTTTTGGGAGTTGCCCACTGTAATTAATTGTTTTAAATTGTTTTAACTGTATTTTATTGCACTGTGTGCCTTAATTGTGTAACTGTGGTGTTGTATTACACCTATGTCTTGTAAGCCGCCCTGAGCCCGCATGCGGGGAGGGCGGGATATAAATGCAATTAAATAATAAATAAAGGGAAGAAAGAGTCGGAGAACAACACCAAGTCCTGCTTCTCTTCTGATGTCTTGTTATGGCCTCAGTAAGGGCCTTTATTGTTTTTATAGGTGGGGTCAAAACTTCAAGGCTGCGCTCAGTGGATCAAAGAAGTTCAAAGCCTAACACACGGCCTTTGTCCCAGACTCAGCAGCATCAGGTCTTATTACTGGCAATATAGACAGTTTTCCACCTTTGTTTTTCTTACTGGCTTCGGCAGTTTCCCATTCCCATTTGCCAGGATGTTTCAGGAAAATTTGCAATAGGCATGGCCAAAAAAAAAAAATGGAATGGGAAAAAGAGAGAGGAGAAAACAGGTGGGAAATAAAATAAAAGTTGCCTTCAAAAGTTTCTGTTTCCAGCACATCTGTGAATTAAGAGCCAGCCTAAGGGGGAAGCTGAGTGGTCCAAAGGAAGAACACAAAGAGCAAGAAGCCGTGGGCTGGATTTTGCAGAGCTGTTCCTCTGACTTTCCTCCCTGGCCTCTCTAGGGCCTCTTGTAGCAGAGGACCATGCTGCTGTTAGCAAAATGGGTCTGCAGGATACAGACCTTTGACGGGTGGTACATGCAACAGTATCACAAGTGTGGCAACCATGACACATCCATTCATTCTAAATGAAATTCTTTTATTGACAGCTTATGTAGTGGTGACATACATGCCCATAAAACTCTAAGCACGTTTGCTGAGAAATGGGGCTTGCTCTCCAGAAAGGATGTTCAGGGCTTGCAGTGGGTGTCCACGGCAATCTAAAACACAGAGTTAAAAATAACAACAATATTCAATCAGAGCAGTGTTTAAAATTCATCCCTGCTTGCCGTAAACTGTAAAACAAATATGCTGGGTAACTAACCGTGCAGTTATATGCAGTCTAAGCCAGTTGAAATAAATGGATTTAGACTGGTGTCACTCTGCATAAGGAGCTGCGGTGGCTCAAGTGGTTAAGACGCTGAACTGCAGGCTGTGGAAGGTCGGTAGTTCAGCAGTTCGAGACCCGGGTGCCGCATGATGGAGTGAGCTATCTCTAGTTCCAGCTCCTGCCAACCTAGCAGTTCGAAAGCAAGAAATTGCAAGTAGATAAATAGGTACCACTTTGGTGGGAAGGTCACAGCGTTCCGTGTGCCTTGGTGTTTAGTCATGCCGGCCACATGACCACGGAAACGTCTTCGGACAGCGCTGGCTCTTTGGCTTTGAAACGGAGATGAGCACCGCAACCCTAGAGTCGGATTCGACTGGCTTTCAAGCAAGGGAACCTTTACCTTTAACTGTGCATAGGGTTGTAATAGGGGTATGGGGGTGTGGCAGAATCAGTTGGCAAAGGCTCAGACAAATAGACTTTGCCTTGAACCTGAGAGGTTTTTAGACTTTTGTATATTTTCATATTTCATTATTAAGAGCCAGCCCAAACAAGAAAGTTTTATGGCACTTAACAAGTTTGTATAAGCATAGGGGTGGACAGATTATGTAGCCTTTCCGTTCTTGTGGGAAAGTTTTTGATACCCTCTTTCTCTGTCCCTTTGTCACGTAGATGTGGTGCATAGAAGTACAGTTAACTAACAGAGACTGTAGAAACGACCAACAGTCCAGTAGCACCTTAAAGACTGACAAAATACGTGGCAGGGTATGAGCTTTTGTCAGTCACTGCTCACTTCTTCAGATACAGCTAGAATGAGAGTCCGTCTGTCCTATTTATTGGAAAGTGGAGTGATTTCAGATGCTGAGTGACATTAGCAGGCGAATGACAATAGCAGGCGAATTACAATAGCAGGCATGATTGGATTTAGGTGAGATATGCAGAAGGGTAATAGGCATGGAGAAATCAACATTGGTAATGAGACAGGTAACCTGGGTCTTGATTCAGTCCAGTTGGATGCATTGTTTTGAGCTTCATTATCAGTTGCAATTCAGCAGTCTCTCTTTCCAATCGCAATTCAGCAGTCTCTCTTTCCAATCTCCCTTTGAAATTCCTTTATAAGAGAACTGCTAACAGAGACTGAAATGCAGAGAGAAACAGATCTCTCAAAGCCACATAATCATAATGCTGGCTTGGATCCTGCTTAGGACTTCAGTGGAGGTGGGAGGAGGCCAATTTCATTAATTCCCCTTCTCATGGGAAACGCCTGATTCCCCCCCCCCACAAGCTATATCTGGGGTCCCCAGGAATCATCAGAAACCACCCCTCTCCTCCTTAGACCCATGAAAATTTTAGTTAGGAACTAAGCCGCTATTGGATATGGCTCACTGAACAGCGTAAAAATAATACTTGCATTTTTGGTGGCTTTACAATGTTACATCTTTTGATAATTTTGTAAACAACGATGATTCTTCTCAGGAACTAACCTTCCTCCTCCTCCTCCTCCTCCCATTCCCCATAAAATAAGATACCTTGATTACTGTGGTGGCAGTAACAGTATGCATTAACATGTTCAAATCAATTTTTGCTGCAGATATACCCTTGATGAGTTCGGAACAGCCAGAAGAAGCGCCGTGGTCCGGGGCTTTATCGATGCTCTTACTAGAGGCGGTCCAGGAGGTACTCCACGGCCTATCGAAATGCATTCCCATGATCCTCTAAGGTACAACAGTGACCGTGTATGTTGCAAATAAATGGGGTGGGGACACATTACTTGCAATGTAGCAGCCCTTTATTCACCAGAGTATTTTTGTTTGTTGCTGTTTCAGGTATGTAGGAGACATGCTGGCCTGGCTACATCAAGCGACCGCTTCTGAAAAGGAGCACTTGGAAGCCATGTTAAAACTCGTGACTGCCGAAGGTACCACTGACGTTTAAATCTTCCAGGGAATGTAGTAGGAAGCAAGAAAATGGATGAGTCAGAGGCTGGCAAGTGGAAGGCAGAGGGAATCGCTCACACTCGTAGAAATATGGAGCCAAGATAGTGATTTTTAGGGATAGGGAAGATTTGGGCATCTTTTTTGGGGGGAAATTGCAAAGTAAAGCTAGTCACAGTAGGGACCAAATACCAGCAGAATGGAGGCAAGGAGGGATTTGGGATCAAAGGAGTTTAAGCTGTGGGGCTGGAGGTGAAAGGAGAAAACAGTCATTGTGTGATGAAGAGTGATTAACAATTGGAATGAGTGATTAACACTTGGAATTCACTGCCACAGGAGGTGGTGGTGGCTACAAGCATGGACGGCTTCAAGAGGAAATTAGATAAGCATATGGAGCAGAGGTCCATCAGTGGCTATTAGCCAATAGCCACAAGGTATAGCCACAAGGTATTAGCCAATAGCCACAAGGTATAGATAGGGGCTCTGGGGCAAGTGATGCTCTGTCTTCATGGTGCTTGGGGGGGGGGTCAACAGTGGGAGGGTTTCTAATGTCCTGGCCCCACTGGTGGACCTCCTGATGGCACCTGGTATTTCTGGCCACTGTGTGATACAGTGTTGGACTGGATGGGCCTTTGGCCTGATCCAACATTGGCGTCTCTTATGTTCTTATGGTAACAAATAAAAATAAATACATATACTGGGACCATTCCTTCCTTATGTTAAGCTAGTTGGCGCCAGTCCTGGCCAGGAAGTACGGCTAAACTATTTAAGCATCCTAATTTCAGGGCTGGAGCTACAACATCTACGAAGCTTTCTCCTGAGAATTATTTATTTATTTATTTATTTGCCTGAGAAATACACAAGAAAATCTCAGGCCAGGGGGGTGGGGCAGCAACCCTCCACTACGCTGCAGCGCCAAATAGTTTTCCTTGTGGAGGCTGCGTTGGAAGAGGGGACTGGCATAGAGATCCCACCACCATCACCACCACCTTCATTCAAGGAGGAGAAAGGGGGCGGCGGCGGCAGCCAGCCCGGCTCGCTCACCTTGTCAGCCTCCAACCGCGTCTCCAGCACTTTGCGGAGCTTGTGCGGGAGCCTCCTGATGGCTCCTGGTATTTCTGGCCACTGTGTGATACAGAGTGTTGGACTGGATGGGCCTTTGGCCTGATCCAACAATGGCATCTCTTATGTTCTTATGAAGGAGAGGTCATGCAGACAGGGAGTAGAGGAAGGTACAAGACTCTGAGATGGGACTGCAAGATTTTGGACCGTGGAAGAAGAGGGAGGGAATGGTTGGAGCAAGTCCTCCTTAGCAGAGAAGAGAAGGGGATTGTGAGTCACTGAGGGAGGAGCAGTAAAGATATAGAGCAAGCAAGAAGGCAGAGAGAGGAGGAGAAAGTGAGTGAGCTTTCAGTAGAGGAAATCTGCCTCATCAGACCTTCCCAAATCTGCAGTCCTGATTCTTTGTAGTAGTCCACAAAAGTATGTTTGCAAAGAATTACATTTGTTGTTTGTGGTAATGAGGAGGAATTTATGAGCTTGTCAAATGGAACATCAAAAAATAATCTGTGGCCCTGACCCGGGCAGCCTAGGCAAGCCCGATCTCATCAGATCTTGGAAGCTAAGCGGGGTCGACTCCGGCAAGTCCTTGGATGGGAGACCTCCTTGGAAGACCAGAGATGGAAGGCTGGGGGCAGGCTTTACTCAGCCATCTCTCTGAATATCCTCCAGGCCCCCAGTAGGGGTCAGTCACCACTGAGTTCACCATGACTCCCAGACGCACACACAATCACCAGAGGTTGCCACAAACACACGAAAAATACAAAAAAATACTCCAAAAAATCTGTGGAATACCTCTGAATAACTTCCACTGTTTAATTTTCAGGTGTGGAAGAAACTATGCAAGAAGTAGTTGGACACATCACAGAAGGTGTTTGCCGGCCTCTTAAGGTAAAATACGTTGCTTTATGTGAAGCCTCAGTGTAAACATGTAGTTGTGTTTTTTTTAAGCATTTCCTCATATTTCACAGTTAGCAATCATGTTTCCTGTTACTGTAATTATTACTGGCCTCTTCCCCTGAATGATTGGTTGATTCTGGCAATACAGTATGAGGAGTAGACCATTCTTGAATGCATCCATTTTCGGTTTCTTGACCACAGAGTCATTTTTTTTTTTAATTTAAATTTTGGCCCTTTTTAAAGATTCAGCCTTCATGTTTTCCTTGACGCTGACTTGTGTGTAGATGTTGACTTAAAAGGGGGGAGGGTGTCTGCATGGCGGCTGAATGCATGCTTTTGTCCTATTTCTCTCAGGTTAGAATTGAACAATTGATTGTGGCCGAACCGGGAGCAGTCCTGCTATATAAAATCTCTAACCTTCTCAAATTCTACCACCACACCATCAGGTAAACTTGGAACAGACTGTGAAGAAAAATCAAATTACCTTTGGCTTTATGTTATAAGGGCTAGGTTTTTCTTTTGCGGTAGTCGAGTTGGTTGCACTCAAGGGGGGGATCATATAGATTAATTACTCAACTTTTTGGAGAAGGTATGAAGTATATAGGTGGAAGAAGAGGTTCAGAGAGCCCAGGTGTCCCGAAAGCCCAGAAGACAGGGGGGCGGGCACGAGTGCAGGAGAACCGGAGAAGCTGGCACGTACCCGAACGCCGAGGGACCGACGGAGTCCTTCAGGCAAGCATGAAGGCGAACGGGGAGTTTTGGGATCTCCCGGAAGTGACCCCACCCCCGAAGACGCCCAGGCCACCCCACTTGGGAGGTGGGACGCTGTCACTCCGAGAAGTGTTGTTGAGAGTGATGCAACTCTCTCCACTTCTATTCTGAGGCTTTGGCTTCCCCTGTGGGACTTCAGACGACACGGCGGAAGCATCCTTCCCCTCAGGGGATGACCCCCGGCGTGACACCCTTCTTCGAATAACTATAATTCTTCTGGTGGGTAGCCATGTTGGTCTGGAGCAGCAGAACAAAGTTTGAGTCCAGTGGTACAATAAAGTTCTGTTCTGGGTATAGACTTCCGTGTGTATGCACACTTCTTCAGATACCTGAAGATACACTTCTTCAGATACAGTTTTTCAGATATATGAAGAAATACCCAGAATAAAACTCTGTTAGTCTTTAAGGTGCCACTCAACTCAAACTTTGTTATACAGCAAGGGAGATAGTGCTGGTAATTCCCAATGGGTAATTCCCATTGGGGAATTGGGGGCCGCGGTGGCTCAGAGGTTATGATGCTGAGCTGCAGACCAGAAGGTCAGTCGTTCGGCAGTTCGAGCCCCTAGTGACGCGTGACGGAGTGAGCTCCCGTCTCTGGCCCCAGCTCCTGCCAACCTAGCAGTTCGAAAGCAAGAAATTGCAAGTAGGTACCACTTTGGTGGGAAGGTCAGCGTTCCGTGCACCTCGACATTTAGTCATGCCGGCCACATGACCACGGGAACAGTCTTCGGATAGCACTGACTCTTTGGCTTAGAAACGAAGATGAGCACCGGAACGCCTGGAGTTGGATTCGACTGGCTTTCGCACAAGGGAAACCTTTACCTTTACCTAATTCCCATTGGGGTGAACAGCATGTTCACAGCACCAGCATCTGGCACCTGCCTGAAGTGGGGGGGGGGAGAACCATTGCAAAGCAGCACCTCCCACTCTCAGCCCAGAGAGATGGCTCTCAAAGGATGCCTCAGTTCTTGGCACTGAATGCAGCTGAGAGATCCAAGGGAAATGACTGGGGTGGAACTTTCCCCCCAGAGTTTATTACTCCCCCACCTTCAAATAGAACATAAATTCTCCACGCAAAAAAACAGTGTTCCTTATTTTTAGTCTTACTAAGCTAAATAGCAGGACCTGACGTGTCTTTCTTGGGTATAATTAACCCCCCCCTTCTGTTTTTTCCCCAATTTTCAGTAATATTGTGGGAAACAGCGCCGCCATGCTGTTAACAACGATCGAGGAGATGCACCTGTTGAGTAAAAAAATATTCCTGAACAGTCTGAGCCTGCATGCAAGTAAATTGATGGATAAGGTTTGTTGCGAGGATTAGTCGCTCTCCTGTTTCTGCAGCCCACACTCCGTTCAGTGGGGGTCAGGTTGGATCTCCCACATCCTGGTCTTGACACTCTCGGCACTGCACCACACTGGTTCTCTCAGCCTCATAGTCCTACCCCAGCCATTTCCTTTCTATTTCTTGACAGCTTTGACCACACACTCTTCATCACATGTTCCCGCTCCCCCACCCCCCCCCCCCGGCAGCCTCCTGCCATCCCTCCCTCACACCAGTTGCTTGCGGGCAGGGTAAGAGCCCTGGGCGGGCTGGTTCTGGCCCCCGGGCCTTATGTTTGACACCCCTGCTCTAACGACTATGCCACACTGGCTCTCTTGAACAGCTGAACAAAGAAATTTGTGGTCCATAGAAGATAATGAAGCCGTTTCTATTTGTGCTGTGGGACTATGAATGCATTCTTCTTTTTCCCAGCACCTGAGAGAAAGTGGGGCAGATAAGGGCCGAATGCCCCTTCTCCTTTGTAGAAAAGGGAGCACTTCTGCTGTTGACAAGCCAGGCTTAGGGGTTAAGGTTATGCTAGAGACGGATGGAAAGAGGCTGGTGGTAGCTTTGGGCCGCTGCGCTGCTTGTACGTCCATCACCTGGTGTGATTGGGTGCCCCTGTATTGCTTCCTATAGACAAATCTCATTTTGAGAAATACGTTCACAACACTTGTTTTTTCAGATTGAGCTTCCCCCTGCCGATCTCGGCCCAAGCTCAGCGCTGAATCAAACACTCGTTCTGCTGCGTGAGATTCTGGCATCCCACAGCTCCTGTGTCGTCCCTGTGGATACTCGACAAGCTGACTTTGTGCAGGTAGACCTTTGTTTTGAAGATCTTGGTGTGCGTCGATCTTAGCAATCGAAAGGCGGTGCAGTATGTGGATGGGCAATGCCAGAAATGGTGTTGTTAACAAATAAATAGGGTGGAAGGTTAACTGTGGTCAGTATCTGGAGAGTCAAATGCAGCTGTACTGCAACTAAAGACAGATATGGTGGTGGGCAATGTTCCCTCTAAGCTGTGGAGTCTCATGAGCAAAAATTCCACTTTGTGAGCTGGTGGCATTAAAGTTGTGAGTGAGCGATTTGGCTACTGCATCAATTAGTCTGCTTTGAAGCCCTCCTTCCTGAGCTAAGACAAAAATGTGTGAGCCGGAGGCTAGAAAACTGTGAGCTGTCTCACACTAACTCAGCTTAGGGGGAACACTGGTTGTGGGGATACGAGTGGCGATACTAGGCAGTGTCTCCATTCACCCGCTGCCATACATGATTTCCTCTGTAAAAAGCGAAGAGGAGAAATGCTGGAGGATAAAGGGGGAGCAGAGGACGCCTCATAATTGTGTAGCCACTTCTCACCCCATCAGTAAATAAACCGTGATGGCTCAGCCGAAGTGTCTTGGCTCCTCCTGGGTGGGGGTGGGGGAGTAACGCTGTTCCCCTTTCTTCCCCCACTCCCTGGCAGGTCACTTACAGAGGTGGGGTGGAGAATGGCACTTGTCTTCTGAAGACGAGGAGGAATTGATGAGGAAAAGGAGCAGAGTCCTTGAAAGGAACCTGGCTTGTGTGGAGCCTTCGCGTACAAGAAAGAAAGTTGGACCACTGAAGTGGGAGCAAAGGCTAGCAACAGAGTTCAGTCCCATCGTTAATTCTGAGCCCAGTGATTTTACTTACACATATTGGATTGGATTCTACCTAACATTTCTGCTGACAGAAGGGGGAGCATCGGTTCCCCCCCTCCCACAGCAGACCTCCAACTCCTCCCTCATGTTGTTTCAGGAGGGGTCCACATAGGCTTGCCAAGTCCCCCCCCGGTGGCGGCGGATCGGGCCCCGGGGGGAACCCCACGTGCACGTCACCAGGAAGTGACGTGACGACGCCGGGCACGCTGGGGGCGGGGCCACGACCATCCGAGGGAAAACTCTATGGTTTTGCGCTCAAGCCGGGAGTCCCCCGCTGCGGCGATTTTTTTCACTTGGCAACCCTAGGTCCACAACAGGCCCATGTCTACGGTGGGGCTATTCAGGGCTCCGCCCCCTTTCTTAAAGGGACTGCCCCACAAGATTTTCTCCTGTAAAAGCTTTTTAAGGAGAAATTACAGCCAAGGGGTGGTGAGGAGATTGCAGGGAGCTGGGTTCTTTTTTTAAACTATAGAATTCAAGCCCCACTTAAAAAAAATTGCCCCGCAAGCCACAAAATCCTGGCTACGGGCCTGCTCTGCGATCCGGCAGTAATCGCACGTGGTGTATTTTAGTCAGCGGCAGGGAGGAGGGGGCTGAGGAAACCACTCTCTGCTGATGAAAGTCCTAGATTTTCATGAGAAACCAAGCCTTTTATTCCAAAGGGTTGTGGGCAGCTTTTCTGCAAATTCACGACCACAGAATGAAAGGCTGAAAAATAACAGAATGTGTGGCAGTAGTACACATTACCTCCTGGCGTACCCAGCTCCGCTGACACTGTTTAGCCGGCCAGTCTAAAAGCTGGCCAGAATGGGGATGATATCTGACAGCCATTTCTAAAAGAGACACAGGCCTCTGCTGCGAAAGCCTCACTTCTGGCAACTGAGGTTTTTGCCTCCTGTGCTGATGGGGTCTGAATTAGGAACTCAGTTGACATGTAGGCTGATACAGGTAATTCCCCCCCCTTCTTATTAATAGACTAGGTCTGTACTGCTGTTTGTCCATAAGCCAGAACAGCACTCTGTGTCCCTATTTTGTTTCAGACACAGTGGGTGCGGTCAGACGGCGTGCCGGGAGCAGTGTAAATTACTCCGGTCCGATGCGCTTTTTTTTTAACCTGGAAGAATTGCGATCACACTCACCTCCTTCTTCCGGATCGCTGCGCAGCCACATCGCTCCCCGCCGTCCACACGGGGTTTTTTCCTCTCAGTTTGGGCATGCGCACAGGTAGCCATCTTTAGTATTGAAATTTTCACATGTGCGCAGAACAGCGATTTCCCCTTCAACCCAACTGCCATGACGCTTCCCTTTAAACGTTAAAGGAACACTTCCCTTTACACTTTTACCCCGAAACTGGCTTCCCTGAGATCCTGAACTCATCTATACAACAAAACTAGGCACTGTTTAAACTTTGGTTTTATTAACGCCGGGGCGAAGCTCCGCCCAAGCGCATATCGCCGACACTTTAAAAAAATTTTAAAAATGGCAGGCGAAAAGCAGAAGCCTCAGGCAGCTTTCGAGTGGGGAACAGGAAGTGGCTCTACACCGGCGGAGGAGCGATCACACAGGGGGAAAATGTGGCTAGAACCGGAGCAGCAGGAAAACACCACTTGGGGACCTGGTAGCAAAATACTCCCGTTTAAAGGGGGTTGGGGACGGGAGGCAAATGTTGGCTGTGTGCTCGCCCATATAAACTCTGTTTCTAACCAGCACGTATACCGGCTCAAATGGCCCGTCTGAACGCGCCCAGTTACTCTAGATGCAGTAGGAATAACAATTATACTTTTTTACGGTGTTCAAAGCAGAGCTGTGCGTAGCTGTTGCTTAAGTGTCTCCAGAACTGCCCATTTCTCAGCTTCGTTTTAGCATCAAGACATATATCCTTTTTTAAAAAATCAGAGCTCTGTACCCATGGCTGCTGTATCCTCTGATCAAAGACCTAGCAGCAAAGCGGCTTTTGATTCAATATCGAGGCCAAAATTGTGGGCCAGCTTAGAAGCTTCCTCAATTGATAGAAGGCTCCTCTTTTTGTTGCGGGCTCTTCATGATAACACCCATTTGCATGTTAGCCTTAACAGGAAAGGAAATCTATCAGACCCTATTAACACCTATAGGGGAGTTAGGCAGGGTTGCGTACTAGCCCCTTCCCTGTTTAATCTATATATTAATGATATATTAATGATATAGTAAGTTACTTAGACTCCCCTAGTTTACATCCACCAAAACTTCAACAACAGCATGTGTCTATCTTACTGTATGCCGACGATGCTGTCATCTTAGCTAGAACACCAGTTGGCCTTAGAAGAGCTCTCAGTAAGTTTGCAGACTTTTGTAAGAATAAGGAACTAACAATAAATTTTCAAAAAAACAAGGTTATGGCCTTCGGGAACAGACAAAAGAAAAGAATCTGGTCTGTAAATGGGCACTCATTAGAGCAGGTTTCCTGCTTTAAATACTTAGGTATGGTCCTTCAATCAAATGGGGCTAGGAAAGCCTATATATAGTATGTTGCCTCCCAAGGTGAAAGAACAGCCAATGCTATTCTTAAGTTCTATCGCACCAAAGGGGCTTATTATGTGCCAGCTGCCCAAAAACTCTTTCAAGCAAAGGCAGTTGGACAGATGCTCTATGGCACTTTTATTGGGCCTCCTTCCTCTAGTTTTGCCCCTTTAGAGCGAGTTCAGTCCAAATTTCTTAGAGCAGTTCTTCAGGTCCCAAGGTGTGTATCGAATACACTGATCCGTCTAGAGACAGGTGCTATATCAGTGGAAGCCAAAATTACTTTGGCTTCACTCCAGTATTGGCTTAAACTAAATTTCCATCCTCAGGGACTAACCCACTTGTTACTCTCAGACAACTTTCAATCCAAATGGCTGAGAGCAGTTCATAATAAATTATATGAGCTTGGTTTTTCCCCCCAAGCGATTTTGAGTATGCATTGGGATGTAGCAAAAGCAGCCCTAAAACAGAGAATGATGGACATGGAGAGACAGACAGATCTCGGTAGATGTCCTAAGTTTAGAGCCCCAGATTCTGTCAAATATCGCTTGCAACCCATGTCCTATTTATCACAGCTTGATACTCACAAGTTTAGGAAAACCTTCACATTAGCCAGATGTGAGGCTTTCCCCTCTGCGATGCTTGAGGGTAGATTCAAAAGGATCCCCACTGAATATAGAATTTGTCGATGCGGCTCAGGAGAGACAGAAACTATTGAGCACATGATGCTCAGATGTAACTGGTATAACGAGATCCGTGACAAATAACAGATATGGTGGGACAATCAGGTGCTGAGCAATGTAACCGATTATTAATTGATGGGAACCGGACAATTACCGAAACTGTGGCAAAATTTTGGGTAGCATGCTACTGCATCCGTAATACACTATCAGATATATAATAATAGTTGCCTAATAGTCTCTGTTTTATGTTCTTCTTTTCTTTATTATACTCAACTGTATTTTTATAGAGTTTTATTTTACTGTCCTAAATTCAGTTATATGAATGTTATGAATGTTATATTTAAGCATGTGTATTCTATGGCTTGTTGCCGTAATAAATGCCTGACTGACTGACCTAGCAGCATGGAAATGCAGTGAGCCAGGTCCGGGAGCATTCTAGACAGATGCTTCTCTAAACTTGCCTTGGGAGCGTCCAAGGAAGAAGAGTCACAGCTTCCCTGGAAACCTTACTACTGCACTGATCTGGCAAGGAGACGGTTTTCCAGTGTTTGACTTAAAACAACATCCTTCCTGTGTCAAACGCTTGTCCTTTTCTCAGGAGCGGCTTTGTTTGGTATGACGGAGCCTCGTTCGCTGCCTAATCGATTGCTTCTCTCAATTTGGCCAGCACTGTCTGAAAAATGAATAATAGGAAAGTTAGCCCGGCTGCATTTGTATTTTCAACCTGTGCGGCATTCGGAAGCAACATCCTTTTTACAATTACCAAACACTGTGAGCTGAATGCACAGTAGATTGTAGTGTCACAAGTTGTAGGAGAAGAAGGACAAGGAGAAAAAGAAGATGCTGCTGCTGCTGCTGATTTATACCCCGCCCTTCACTCGGAGTCTCGGAGTGGCTTACAATCTCCTTCCCTTCCTCTCCCCACAACAGACATCCTGTGAGGTAGGTGGGGCTAGGAGAGCTCTTTCGAGGACTGCTCTGAGAGAACAGCTCTGAGAGAGCCATGACTGACCCAAGGTCACCCAGCTGGCTTCATGTGACCTGTGGGGAATCAAACCCAGTTCTCCAGATTAGAGTCTACCACTCTGAACCACTACACCAAACTGGCTCTCTTGTAGACAAACATGATCTTTCCGTTTTCGGCCTCTGTCCTACTGCCTTGGAATAATAACAGAGCAATGTATGCACGAGAAATCCCATCAGTCTGAGCATTTCTTCTGTGGGTTTCCCTTCCTCTCTCTAGGTTCTGTCCTGTGTGCTAGACCCTCTGCTGCAGACGTGCACAATGTCTGCTAGTAACTTGGGGTCTGCGGACATGGCGACCTTCATGGTGAATTCCCTCCATATGATGAAGACGACCCTGGCCCTCTTTGAATTCACCGACAAACGGCTGGAGATGTTACAGTATCAGGTAAACATTCAAAAGTCAACCACTCAATGTTTTCTTTGCCATTAACCATTAACGTGAAATAAATATAACGTGGTCGTCTTAAATGTGTGTATCCTTGCAGCCTTTGTATATAAAGTAAACACTCCAATGCATACGACCACACAGACAAAAAAAAGCCTCCATTAATGGGGAGTTAAAAGACTTTCTCAAATGGCATGAAGGACAGCAGGGGAAAGCGAAGGTCAGCCAGAGCCGCAGCATGGAAAGCGTGCAAAAATGGTCACTGTTTTCCAATGCATGTGATTTGGGGGAGGGGGGCAGGGTTTCCACTTTTACTTCTACACCCTGCAGAAAACGGACTCTCCATTTGGGCCATCCTTCAGGGGAGGTAATGAGAGTACCGGAAATTTCACTGTGTGCAACTTGACCCTCCTTTTTCTCTTGCCCAAACCGGAGATGAGTTAGGCTCCACTTGCCTCAATGGGGAAAGGGGACTGCTTCCTTTAACGTGACCCCACACACACACACACCCTGGCCCGGTCCGCAAGGCATTCCTCTTTGAACCCTCAGCCACGGAAGTGAAGCTTGTAGCAATTAGAGACAGGGCCTTCTGAGTGGTGGCACCTCTCACCTTTGGAATTGCTCTCCTCCTCCCCAAGGTTCACCTGGCACCTCCTGTCTTGTCGTTTTAAGTACTCGGCCAGTCTTTTATTATCCAAAGCTTTTATTATCTTACTTATCTTTTATTAGCTGGTTGTTATGTCGCATGCATCATTTTAATGACGATCACTGTTTTATGAACACAAATTCATGAATACCTCCTTTAACTCCTGGTTATGCTGTTTTTATGCTGTAGTGTCTTATGTGCTTTTGTTTCTTTTAAGTTTGTTAGTTGCCTTGGGATGATCTCTGGAGAGGTGGCCTATAAATCTCCTAAGCAGGCAGTACAGCGCTGCTGTAGGTGGCCCACCGCCATATGCAGCCCAGAGAGATCCTCCCCTTCTCTTTGCCAGTGCGTCTGCCAAGGGAAGCAGGGAGACCTCAGTTTCTCAGCAAAAGGTGGCTTCGCAATTAGTGTTTCTCCCCCTCCTGATCTATAAGCGATCATTTTTCTCTCACAGAGAAGAGCTATCATCTTGGAGTTGTCCCTAACTTATTTGTAATCTGCTTTTCTCCTGAACGAGGGGCTTAAAGCAGCTGACAACATCATTTCCCCTGCCTCCATTTTATCCTCACAGCAGGAACCCTGCGAGGTAGGTTAGGCTGAAAGACAGAGTGACTGGCCCGAGATCACCTAGCAATCTTACTTGGCAGAGTGGGGATTCGAACCTGGTTCTTGCAGCTCCTAGTCTGACACTCTGATCACGACAGTGCTTAAGTCCATGCGGGGCAGGTAACTTGCTCAAAATTCATTCCTAGATAAACGTGGTTTTTTGAACAACAACAAACACACAGCAGGCTCAAGATTTTAACATGGTGAAAACAGATTATTTTACAGCCGTATGTGCAGCTACTTTTTGAAGTGGTTTTGGCCAAGGCCTTGACAGTCGCACGCCTTCATTTCACAGCATTGTCCGAATTCCATCCATTGCACTTCGCTGATTTCTTCCGACTTGCTTTGGCCAACACACTGTCACCTCGAGCACATTCCCATTAAACGAAGATGTCTTCCTTTCATATTCTAGATCGAGGCACATTTGGACACACTGATCAATGAAGAAGCTGCCTTTGTTCTAGCAAGAACAGGCCTGAGTTACATCTACAGTATCGTACAGCAGCACAAACCGGAGCAGGTGCGTAGTGATTAGGGGAAACAGCAGGGACCCAGCCTTTCTGGTCTGGTGCAATTAAACACGGTCTCATGATGTACCAAGTAAATACAGCGGAAGTGCTCTGTTTGTATTAGGTGCATGTCTTTCTGAATGCCACTATTCTGACACAGCAACTGATTTCAGCTCATCCAATATACCGACTTGGAAGCATAAGTTCACAGCATTTTGCTGGGATTCCAAAGATCTGTACCTAAGGGTTTGGACCTCTCTTTGAATAGGAGTCTCACACAGACACACCTCTCTTTGAATAGGAGTCTCACACAGACACACCGTGCCACTATTCTGACACAGCAACTGATTTCAGCTCATCCAATATACCGACTTGGAAGCATAAGTTCACAGCATTTTGCTGGGATTCCAAAGATCTGTACCTAAGGGTTTGGACCTCTCTTTGAATAGGAGTCACACACAGACACAAACCTCTTGTGGGAGTCCCCTCAGTGTGAAAACTGGGCGGCTGTGTGGGATGAGGGGGCGCCGCTGTCCGAGAAACAAGCTCAAAACCCTCTTTGCCGTACCGGACAACCTGTGTGGGTCTTTAGATCGTGGCCTTCCGCTCAGCCTCTAGTACCCACAGAGGCACGTCCATTGGCAAGAGGAGGGCTCACAGGTTGCTGACCTCCACCTGCCACGCGGCACCTCTCGCCCTTCCAAAGGATCTGAGCTCCAGGAGTGTTGTGTGAGGCAAGAGAGGCTGCAGCACAAAGAGGGGGCAGGAACATTCTGTGGTATGAGAATACGGCTCTCGGGGACTTTCGATAACACATAAGAACATAAGAGACGCCAATGTTGGATCAGGCCAAAGGCCCATCCAGTCCAACACTCTGTATCACACAGTGGCCAGAAATACCAGGTGCCAACAGGAGGTCCACCAGTGGGGCCAGGACATTAGAAGCCCTCCCACTGTTGACCCCCCCCCCAAGCACCAAGACGACAGAGTATCCCTTGCCCCAGACTGAGAGTCCCTATCTATACCTTGTGGCTAATAGCCACTGATGGACCTCTGCTCCATATGCTTATCTAATTCCCTCTTGAAGCCGTCCATGCTTGTAGCCGCCGCCACCTCCTGTGGCAGTGAATTCCATGTGTTAATCACTCTTTGGGGTGAAGAAGTACTTCTTCACCCAAAATGTTTCTCTTTCTTTGGATCTTTAACCCATCCCGTTCCAAAGGTTCAGAGAAGCTTAACGAATGGGTATTTCATTTATGAAATATTACAGTATTGAACAACGTAATGCAAAGAGGAGACTGGCTCCGTTTCCTGCAAAAGGTCCTAGGGCAGGGGTGGCCACACTTGCTCAACGTAAGAGCCACACGGAATAAACGTCAGATGTTTGAGAGCCACGTGACATGAACAGATATTACAGACATGTTTTCAATGGAAATATATGCACATTTGCTTTTCATTAACATTAAACGAGGCTGCCAAAAATAAGAACAAAAGGGGTAAAAATAGATATTGATAATGATGTTTATTTGTCCAATGATATTTGTAGGCTGGGGGGTGGGCTTTGAAGTTATTTAAAGTTAAATTTGCTTTCTTTCTCTGCTTCCCCCCCCCATCTCAAGCCTACCCAGGGAGGGGAACACTGGCTGGGGAAGGGAAGACCGGTCGGGGAGGCATGCCTCCCCCTCACTTCCCCAGCCGCCCTGCCGGGAGCCACACAGTATGTCCCAAGCCACAGTTTGGCCACTCCTGGTCTAAGGACTGTAATGCGGGGAAAGCTTTGTTATCCAGAACAGGCATCGCCCAGCGAAAGCAAGCCGCCACCTAACCCCGGAGTCTTCGGGCATGCGTGGCACCACTCTTACCTCTTCAGCCTGCCAGCTTGATGCCTCCAGCCGTTGCTGGATTTCTGGCTGCCAGCTTTTCCAGCTGGCATCAGCCCCAGGCACCTCCTTTTCCATCAGCCTGCCTCAAGCTTTCGGGAACCAGCTTTACCAGCCGGCCCACTTGTCTGCCTACGGCACGGGATGGCTTGGGGAGGAAGGGGAGGGCTCTTACCAGGGGTGGGGCATGTTGCCATAGCATTCCTAGTAGGAGGGTTGATTGGTCTGGATGGCTCCAGGTACGGGGTGGAGAAGAGCAATAAGCTTGAGAATCTGGCACAGTTGATTAACTGGCAACGCCCCCCCCCAATTCCCCATGAGTGTCTGATAGCAAAGCTTTTACTGCCAACTACTGTAATGCTCTCTACATGGGGCTGCCCTTGTCGCAAATCCAGAAGCTGCAGCTGGTGCAAAATGCTGCGGCCAGGCTGCTGACGGGCCTCCCTGTGCGGGAACATATCCAGCCTGTGCTGAAGGCATTGCACTGGCTGCCGATAGCATACCGAATTCGCTTCAGGGTGCTGGTTTTAACCTTTAAAGCCCTATATGGTCTGGGGCTTACTTACCTGAGGGACCGGACCGCCTTTCCCCACATGTTTCCCAGAGAGCACTGAGGTCAGGGTCTCAAAATCGCTTGGCCCTCCCTGGACCCAAAGACGCCAGGCTGGCCTCTACCAGGGCCAGGGCCTTCTCAGTAGCCGCTTCATACTGGTGGAATGAGTTCCCGGAAGACACCAGGGCCCCGCGGGACCTTTTACAGTCCTGCAGGGCCTGCAAAACGGAGCTCTTCCGCCAGGCCTTCGATTAGGAGCCGCTTCCAACAACCGAACTGTGGTAAGGCCCTCTATGCTGTCACCAGCAGCCTGCGATAGTTTCTACTAACGGTCTGATAAACTGGTTACCAGCTTTGGCTATATTCCTTTGTCACCGTTCCACCATGGCCTACTAGGATCACTGTGCAATGTTATACCGCCACCAGCACTTTTATTTGTTATGTACATGATTTTATGATGTCTGTCATTCGTGTTTTACTGTATTTGAACTTCTCAATGTAAGCCGCCCTGAGCCTGCCTGGCGAGGAGGGCGGCATAGAAATTGAATTAAATAAATAAATAAAGTTCATAGAATCATTTTATTTATTTTATTTATAGTTGGAAGGGACCTCCAGGGTCATCGAGTCCAACTCCCTGCACAATGCAAGAAATTCACAAATACCTCTCCCAGTGACCCCTTGTCCATGCCCAGAAGATGGCAAAATTATAGTATGAATGATTTTGCTTTACAATGATATAAACATTATGCACAAGGCTGTAGCACAGACAGCTGTTCCTAACACTGAAAAATGTGTGCAAGGCAGAAGTACAAATAAACTAAATTAGCATGTTTACCCCCAAACAGGCACTACCAGAAACCCATGTAAATGTTATGAAGAAATCACAAGGTTTCTGTGGACATCAATATGACCCAATATTCCTAGAAAAATATATGAATAATTGCTTGATACAAGAGTTCATGGCACAAAGTGCTTATGACAGTGAAATCCTTGACAAGAAACTACTTGATAAAATATGCAATGTCCGAACAATTTCCATATATTTGTCTAGATTTTTTTTAAAATATAGCATTAAGTATGATAGTACACTATAATCATGACTAATCCAACATTGTCTACTGTAACTTTGCTCATCAGCCTGTGCAGATCTTGTTCTTTAATACATGCACAAAAGCAGGGACTCACAAGGAACTCACAGGGGAGGGGGCATTCCACCCGTGATTCTTCCTCTTGCTTCATTCTGCTCCCACCCCTTCTGCTGCCTCTCTCACCTTCTGCCTACCATTTTTCCCCACTGTTGCTGCCTCTGTCTCACTAGCCTTTCCCCCCACAACTGCCGCTTTCTTCTCATTCATTTGCTTGCTCACGTGCTCACCCACTGCTACCACCTTTCTCCCTTGCCTCAGTCACTTGTCTGAGGCCTCCTCCCCTCACCACCACCACCGGCATCTTACTTTCCCTTCTCCCTTGTCCTGTTGGCAACAGAGGTGGGCCCTGCTCAACAAAGGGGACAGGGTTGGTAAACCACCCTCAAAATGGCAGCTGAGATCTCATGATGTAGTGTTGCAAGATCTCAGTGTTCTTTCCTTTAAGCTGCAATTATGGGGTCATGAAAAAACTCACTTCTCTTTTTTTGTTCTTGGATTTTTAAAATTAATGTATTTATTTTTACAGCCCTGGAGTTCCCCTGATCTCTACATGGTACCATTTCGCAGGCATTTTTTTGGTCTGTGCTCCGGGGCCATGGTCAGCATTATATAGACACCTGCAGCTTTATATGTGATTCATGTTGGATTTGTTTAAAATGACTACAACTTGTACTCTAATTCGACCACAGAAACTTGTAATTGTGATTCACGTTACATTTCCCAGGATCATCCCTCTGTATAATCCAGAGACTCACGAGAACGTTGCATCTTATGATAACTGTACCCAGGGCTATTTTTGGGCAGGAACGCACAGGAACGGAGTTCCGGCTGTCTCCCAAGTTGACCACGCCCAGCAGGAACTCATTAGCATAATAGGCCACACCCAACAGCAGAAACTCATTAGGATTGGCTACTTTAGGGGTGTGTGGCCTAACATGCAAAGGAGTTCCTGCTACAAAAAAAGCCCTGGTTGACAACAAACAAGGTAAACAGAATAAGAAGCAACAGGTGGGTGTGGCTGAATGACCACACTTCTGGTAACATGGGGGTGTGGCCTAATATGCTAATGAGCTATGCTCTCATGGGTGTGGCTAGATATGCTAATGAGTTTCTGTTGTTGGGTGTGGCCTATTATGCTAATGAGTTCCTCCTGGGCTTTTTCTACAAAAAGAGCCCTGACTGTACCCCTTCCCCTCTGTCTGTGTGAACTCTGAAGACTGTTCTAGAGTCTTGTGGGATGTGGCGTAGTGAAGATTGTCAATTTGTATTTAAAAACAAACACACCTAGGAGGTTTCCACCTATCTGTGTGCCAAAAAGTCACAAAAGCACAAGTTGGCCCTCTCTTTTCTGGTTAGGTTCCAACTCATTTATTTATTTGGCTGCGTTTCTGCACTTTCAGGGTCCCTTGGCGAATGTACCCAGTATGGACTCCACATCATTAAAAGCTGCAATGGTAAGGCATAATATTAAGTTGTGCAGTGGTACATGCTGTTGTGTTACTAGGTGCTACGGCATTGGGGGGGGGGGAACCCTGTGAAATATATATTTAGCGAGTGGTTTTATATATTTAACGGTGTTTTTAAAGGAACTTTGAACTATCCCCTTATGGTTAACCTGTTGCACAGCAGTTGACACCAAAAAAACCCTTTGAAGGAGCCCCACTGATGTTTGCAGGGGCTCAGCCAAAACTGTGTTTTTGTTATGTCTGTATTTTGACATTTTCTTAAATCATATTTTCATCCTGCTAAAAGGACTGTTATAAAGTTACGCTTCATGGAAAGAAATGTTTTAAAATCCCCAATATAAAGTAAGACACCACACTTTGGTACAGATGGTCAGATACTTAAAAATAATAATAATGACATTCTTCAGCAGTTTCTCATAGCAAATTCCTGGCTCAGAAAATTATTTTGACTAATAACTGGGACGTTCAAGTGTTGTCTCGGATCCCATAAAGTAATATCCACCAAATTCCTGTCCTGTCACAACTGTTCCAACTGTGGTGTTTCGAAATACATCCATTTGTTTCTAATAATTAATATCTGGCATCGATTTAATTTAAGCGGCTGAAATAGACTTGCGTGCACAGCCATTCATATAGGAATTTTGCACCTTGAAAATCAACGAACCAAAAAAAATTAAGGAATATTACCTCTGTGGTTTGCCTCAAATTGCTGAAAGCAAATCTTAATTGTCAAGAACATGAACTGGTTGTTTTTTTTAAGTGAAATGGGAGTCCAGGTGCCTCTGATTTGCATGCAGAAGGTTCCCCATGTTTGTTTCCTGACATCTTCAGTTAAAAGGTAGTAGGTGGCATGAAAGACCTCCACCTGAGAGAGCTGCTGTCAGTCAGAGCAGACAGTACTGGCCTTGGTAGACTCACAGGGCATAGGGCAGTTTCATGCATTCATGTTTCCAGGCATGCAATATCCAGGCTCTGGCTTGGCATCCTGTACTCCTTTGATAAGGTCAGGGAAGAGTAAATTGGCTGGGCCAGCCTCCTCCCTTCTATCCTTTCCTGCCCATTTTTCCACTGTTTCACCTCCATATCCCAGCTCCAGCTCTGACTCCCCTCCTGCTCACTTACTACCACCAGCTCCTTCTTCTCTTCGGTGGCGCCAGTTTGGATGGCTATGGAAACCCCAAATTCCATCCGAGCTCCTGTTTTGGTGGGGTTTTTTCAGTGTCTGCACATGCTACAGTTGTGGCTGGGGATATGACGGGAGAATGACACCAGCTACAGTGCTACATCACTTTCAGTAAAATCCTGGAAATGACATGTGGTGACTCTAGGAATCACTGGAAACTCTATGGTTTTACCATAGAGTTTCTGGCGTTTCCTTGAGCTACTCTATGTCACTTCTGGGTTTTTACCAGAAGTGATAGAGTGCATAGATGGGGCTTGGTCCCAAATTATTATTAGAAACATATTTTTATAAATAGGTGATTTTTCCAACAAAAAAGTAGTATCTTATTGAAATCCTCTAGATTCCGCTTGCTGTGATGAATTTTAAACTGTGGCTGTGCCTGGCCCCATTATGTGGGGTTTTTACCTGCACATGGGCCATCCCTTGGTGATTAACTATAAGGATTTGTGTGCCGTTGTCTGGTCTAATCGCAGATTTCTCTACTACTGTACGTTCTTCTTTTGTTTAACATTAGGTTCAGTTTGATCGTTATTTGTCTGCTCCTGACAGCCTGTTAATGCCACAAATAAACTTTCTTCTAAGCACTTCCATTAAGTAAGTATTTGTGTTTGTGTCCTGTTCTACCATTGTAAACGTGGATCCAGTTCATAATTCGTTATTCTCTCGTGTGTCTGTGCGAAGCTGTTTTGGCAGTGTGCCTGCAGATGGCCCAGACACAGGGAGGTTCTAGAGCTTGAGCCAAAGTCAATAGCGCCCAACAACTTGGCTGGCGGCTGAGTGTTGGCAGAGGACAGCAGTGGGCCTTCCTGTGTAATTCAGGACACCTGGCAAAGTCTTTTCCCTTCCAGTTAGTATTCTTTGGTAAAGTTCATTAGTGGGCTTAGATGCACCCAGGCCCGTAGTTACAGTAGGGACATTTTGTGGCTGCCCCCCCCCCCGCCTTCCCGCCCAGGCCTCCCAACTTCCCATCCAGTGGGTTTATCTTATTTTATTTTTTGCGCCTGCCACGGCTGTGCTGAGCCGAGCCATCGCCCTGTGCTGCATGCTGGGCCCTCTCCGCCCCCCCCCCTCTCTCTCTCTCTCTCTCTCTCTCTCTCCATTGCTTTTTAAAACTTTTTTTTTTTTTGGCACAGCACAGCTGTACCACCACCCTGCCTTGCCTGCGCCCTTGCTCCCCCCCCCTCCCTTATCACTTTTTAAAAAACTTTTACTCACTCATTGCTCCTGACACAGTCTGGGTGTGGGGGGGGATACCCCCTGACTTATTTAAATGCCCCCCGAAGTAAAAGAATCCTGGCTACGCCCCTGGATGCACCCATCTTTTACTCCCAGCCAATGCTCCCTCTAAGCTGTGATGTCTTGTGAGCAAAAATTCTACTTTGTGAGCTACTGGCATTAAAGTTGTGAGTGAGCCATTTGGCCACTGCATAGATTAGTTTGCTTTGGAGCCACATCCTTCCTGAGCGAAGACAAAAATGTGTGAGCCAGAGGCTGAAAGCCTGTGAGCTAGCTCCCACTAACTCAGCTTAGAGGGAACACTGCTCCCAGCCCTTTTGGGGAGGGTTACACCCTTCTCCCCATCTAGCAGATAGTGTTGGGGAAAAGGACAGCTCTCCCTCTGAAATGGTTCCAAGGAAAAGGAATGGGCTGGTTTCATTTTGCCCCCTTGATTGACAAAAGCTTGCAGCCTTAACTTCTGTAACTAACATGGATTTAGTGAAAAGTCAAAAGGAGTTTCAAATGGACCCCTCCTTACTCAGCTCTTTCAGCAATGATCCTTTGATGCCAACATGATTGTGGGGGGTTGTGGGATCAAGGGGGTACAAACCAAACAGCCATCCTCAAAGTCCAATGCCACCTGCAATTATTCCCTCCCCCTAGTAGATCAGTGCAAGCATCTGCAGCCCCCCCTCCCCCCAGTGCCAGGGGGGTATTCCTGGGGTCACGAGGGAGGTATGTGGTTGTCCACAATGACTTTGAGGAGCAGCAAGCCAACCCACGGTCCTTTTCCTGCAAAGGTGCAGGGAAAAGTCTTCTTAAATTTATAAATAAATATTTGTCCGTGCATTATCCTCTGTGTGTTTGTATAACGTTCTGTCACTGTTGTTGTTTTAGACAACAGATCATAAAGCAGTCCACAGAACTAGTCTGCAGAGCCTACAGTGAAGTATATTCAGCCGTGATGCATCCAGACAATGAATATAAAGATCCTGAAACCATATTACCGAGATCTCCCCATCAAGTTCAAGCACTACTCTCCTAAGCTTATCGGCCACAAAACTTTTACTTTGAATGTTTTAAGGTCAGAATGTGTTTGTGCCATCGTAACACAGGTAACAATTGGGTTGGTTTTTCTTCTCATTAGCGGCCCCGCTCAGAGCTGCACGCTTGGGTTGCTGCTGTGCACTTCTTTTATTTGCTGAAACCCTGGTGATTGCTGCAAGATTTAAGCCGCCTCGTTGATTGCAGGATTGTGGCCCTGTTGGCAGGTGCTTGATAGAGGAAGGACCATGAAAGCATGCATTCAATTTAAAATTACTCTTGCATTATAATGAAACTGGGGGAAGCGTTGTCAGAAAATCCAGGTTTATTTGGGTGAGAAATATAACCCATGATCATTTTTTTTGATTGCAACGAGAAATGTAGTCCAATAGCAATATTTTCTACTTTTGTTGCTGATGTTCCAGTCTTCGCACAGCCTTCCTGTGTTGTCCCTGACACTGTTAACAAGAAGATGCAAACTTGTAAGCCAAGCAGGGTTTGAATTTTGCTTATGTCCTGTCTCTCTCTCTCTCCCCCCCCCCCCCCCCCCCCCCCAGTTATCTGTTGACAATGAGCATTCTGAATCTCCAGAACCGGCTAAATAATTTTTTTAGTATGAGAACTAAATGAATCAAAAATGCTAGCAACTGTAAAACAAATACTAAGTTGGGGGGAGGGCATGGCTGGTGGTGGTGGTTGTGGTGGTTCTTAATAATCTGCGAGTGAAAGATTCTCAGGTTCTGGATGGAGTTTATTATCTCTGTGGTCTGCCTTGTGAATTGTTCATTGCAGTAGGGTTAGTACTTACGGCCAGATTTCAGATTTGTTCTCAAAACGTTTGGTACTGTAGAAGTGATAGTGCTCTTAGAATCATAGAGTTGGATCCTGCCCAGATCCACTGGTGCAAGGGGCAGGAGCGGCCATGTTGCCTTGACCCCTTCCTTCATGATGACCCCGTCCCGTGCAGCTTTTTGTCTGCGCAGGGCCCCGAGATCTCCGTGATTGCTTTTACAGGATTCACAAAGGGCCACTCCGCTTGCCTTGCACCGGCTGAAGAGCCAATAGGCTCCAACCCGTACACTTCAGCCACCCCTGCTGTTCAGCAAGATTACCACCACCTAGGCTTCAGCGGAGAGTTCCTTTAAAAAAACAAAGAAAGGAGAGCCAGTGGAAAGTAGGTTCAGATCCCATTTGGACAGAGCTGTTGGTCACCGACCACTGCAGTTCCTCATGTGTATAACAAAAACAGAGAAACCATAAGGTCGATGTGCTGTCGCCTTCCATAAGCCTTAGGAATGGAGTGCAGATCTAAAGTTTTGAAAGACGTCATGGTCACAGATTATCGCTGATTTGCTCAGGTCAACAAAACAAGATGCCAGTGTCCACCGAAATCATTAGCGCTCTGCAGACAAAGCTTTCCTTGAAGGCCTCGCTCACCGCTGTGGTTTTGCCAGACAGCAAAAGAATGTTTGACAGGCTGCATCACCAGTTATATTTAGAAGGAAGTAATTCAGAGCATGCTATTTATAGAGCTTAGATAAATAGGTGCAACCTTTAGCAGCTTGAAGGTATCGCCAGCAGTAATTTTCTTCTAAAGTAGTGTTGCTAATTTAAATACCCCCCTTTAAAAAAAAATTATAATGCATATTTTTTTAAAAAAGAAACATCTAAAACAACTTGTGTTGTGCTGCTATTGTAAGTCACTGATTGATTTGCTTGTTTTAAAAAGTACATGCAAATCAGGATGCAGTCCCAAACAGATAGGTCATTATGGACTGAATGAGTTGGACCAGCAAGGGTTTTGGCACCAGACCCAAGACCAAGACTCGGGGAATCTGCATACGAGCAACATCTCTTAGTATTTATTTCAGCTGGTTGCATATGGTAGCTCCTTGCCATTCACGATGCATTCCCTGTTTCGATCTATAGTCCCATCCAGTTCCTTTGAGTTAGCGAGACTGCAGTTTATACAGAGGAGCATTCCACTGCGTGAGTCCCCCGCCCATGCTCTGAAACACAACAGACCTAAAACAAGGTTGACCTTTTTGTGAGAACTAGAGCTTAGCTCTCATACCACTTCTGGGGAAAAAAAGCTTGTGAACAGACATGTCCTTTGCGGGTGGAACAGCAGTTCGATATCTGTTCCCATTCCCCCCCCCCCCAGTTTTCTGACTCTTACCTTAGCCACCAGAAAGTAATGTATATAAATATTCTTCAAATGTCTTATGTTGTTTCCCTTCTCCTGTAAGTATTCTATATGTATATATAGATATGTAAATATTTTGAAAAATAAATGAACTCAAACACAGGATGCGAAACTGTATACTTCAAGAGTAAAAGCAAGCATTGTTGATACCGGTGAGGTACAGAAGCTGAATGCCCTGGCCAACACGATCCAAACCTGCCTTGGCTGCTAATATAATGGATCTGCAAAGAAGAAAACTTAATTATTTGCTGCAGCATTTCTGCTGGGCATATATTAATGCATCTGTTAACGCCGCTATTAATTACACATTCAATAAGAACAGTTGGCTTTGAATTAGGAATACTGACTCGCTTGGCGATACCTAAAGATTTGGTTCCACATGCGAGCCTATAATTTTTGGATTTGCCAATTTAGAGCTCCACAATGATTTGGAGCCAGTGGAGTTCTTCCCTGGGCAGAAGGATTTCCACCCACGGAGCAGGACTTTCTTGTCTTCCCCTTCCTGCTGCAGCACCAAAGGCCCCCCACCCCGCCGCCCCATGCTGCTCCTGAGTTCAATGCTCCCTCTAAGCTGTGGAGTCCTGTGGGCAAAAGTTCTACTTTGTGAGCTACTGGCATTAAAGCTGTGAGCAAGCGATTTGGCTACTGCACAAATTAGTCTGCTCTGGAGCCCTCCTTCCTGAGCTAAGACAAAAATGTGTGAGCCAGAGGCTAAAAATCTGTGAGCTAGCTCACACTAACTCAGCTTAGAGGGAGCACTGCTCCTGAGTAACAGGGACTCCCCAGGAACAGCATTTGGAGGGAAGGCATTTTGGGCTGCAGGAAGAAGGAGAAGGTGAGAAAGTTGCTATATGTGGGCAGAAATCTGTCCACCCACAGCAATGTTCCAATGGATCCGAGCTATAGACTGACTCTGTTGGGTGCTTGTTGGTACACCTATGGCTGGTTGGTTACAGAGTTTTGGCTTTTCTCATACACTTCACACCTTGATCTTAGCCAAAAGGCCGAGAAGCGATTCCATACACTTGAAGTTATGTTACACTTTCAGAGGGTTCAGGCTGTAAGCTTTTGAGAGGCAAAGCTCCCTTCGTCCTGTTATACCAAATCAGACCATTGGTCTATTGAAGTCAGTACTGTCTGTTCTGATTGGTGGTGGCTCTCCAGGGTCTCAATCAGAGGTCCTTCTCCTACCTGATGCTTTCAACTGGGGATGCCATGGGACTTCCGGTTTATGGCGGCGCGTTACAAGACTCACCTCCCGGGGGTGCAGCTGCACTCCAGCCGAAGGAGGGGGTGCGCAGGCTCACCACCACCCCAGGGACCCGGCTGAAGGGGCCCTGGCCAAGGGACTTTTGAGAGGTCGCCTCTTTGCCGGCGCAATGCCAAGGAATTGAGGTGCCTCTCCATGACGAAGGTTCTTCGTGCTGCGAGGCCGAATGGACTCAAGTGACGCCGACCAGGGCAAGCGCAGGAGGTCGAGCGGCAGAAATGTTAATTAAAAGAGGTCTGAGGACCAACTATGAACGTGAGTCTAATGTAAGCGGCGGTTAAAGAGAAAAGAATGCTCCCTACCCCATTCTGTAGAACGGAAAGTGAGACGGGCGGGGGAGGGACGCCTCCCAACCGCATGAACTTTTGAGCGAATTGAGGGGGGGAGCGGAAGAGAAAGCGTGCAAAACTGTTAAGAAATACTCACCAAGGCGAGTTCGAGCGTTTGGGTGCATATTCAGAGACTTAAAATACTTGTCAAAGTAAACAAGCGATAAAGATGGCGGGGAAGAGGACGGAGAAAGAGAAACTTCTGAAATCGAAACTAACGGAAGTCCCAAACCAGAAGGAACCAACAAGCTGGCAAAGACTTTGGCAGAATCCATGCGCCCCCTACTGGACCAGATGAATAACATCAAGGAGCAGGTGTCAACAATGACTCAGTGTATCACCACCCAGTAAACACAGATAAATGAGACTCTTAAAATGATGAATGAAACAGCTGAGAAGGTGAAAGAAGTGGACGCCACTGCACAAAAGGTGAAAAAGAAAGTTCAAAAGCTGGAAAAGAAGCAAGTTTCTATGGAAGATCAGCTGTTACAACTACAAATGGAAAAGGCTAATATGATTCTTTGCTTCCAGGGCATGCCAGAGACTAAGGGAGAGAATCTTAAGGAACTAATGAGTGAAACATTGGCCCCAGTGACAGATATGAAAGCGGAATGTTTGTTAAATGATATGGATGTGGCCTACAGGTCATATTCAGGATATATAAAGAAAAATAATCTGCCTGGGGAAATTGTGGTAAGATTCTCGAAGAGGCATGTGAGGGATGCAATCCTGAAAGCAGTATCTGGAGCACCCCTGAAAGTGGGGGAGAATACCATCAGAACATTGAAAGCTATTCCATTTGAGATAAGACAAAGGATAAAGAAATATAAAGAATTAACTCTTTTTCTACAGAGAAATGCAATTGGATATAGATGGTTAACTCCAGAAGGCGTAACCTTCAAAATCAAGGATAAAAAAGAAAAGATTGACACGGGAATTTTTAAGAGTCCAGTTGGGTGAGTCAGGGGAAGAAGGGAAAAAAGGGATGGACACTAAGTCCGATGGCGAGCTGGACTCGGAATCCTCCGGAGAGGACTCTCTTTCAGAGAAAGGGGTGGCAGCCCCTAAACGTCCTTATAAGCTCCGGAAGAGATTAGGCAAGGAGAAGTAAAGGCTGAAGGACTCTGAATTGTGCCTTTAGAAAATGTTGAAATGAGATGGTCTGGGGTATTTCTGTATGACAGTTAAACTTTAAACAAGACTTGGAAAAGTTAATGCTAAATTTGACTCAGTTGATAGTAAGATTAACGAGATTAAGACTAAATGTTTGTCTAAACAGGTGAGATGATCTCCTCTCTTGGGTTTTTAGTCAGTAGTGGGTTTCTTTCTTTATCCCCTAATTGTAGCCCCCTTCCCTATTTTCTGTTGTAGTTCGTAGTGTTAATAAAAATACAATAAAAAATCCCCTCCGGGGGCTTAAAAAAAAACCCTGGGGATGCCATGCATTGAACCTGGGACCACCTGTGTTCCAAGCAGATGCTGTACTACTGAGCCATGGCCCCTGTCACCCATTGGTCCCCTAGGTCCTCAATGCCAAGTTTTTGTCAGGATGAGGCTCCCTTTAGCTTTCACCTCTCCTAAGTCTAACTCAGTGGCAGCAGTGGGCTTTAGTTGTTGCCAGATTACATTTGGCACACCGAGGCATGGGTTGCGCGTACAGTTCATTTAGACCAGCACGGACAGTCAAACTAGCTTCAGTGCCCCCTTCCGAGACAGCTGCTGTTGGCTCC